TGAAAAATGCAGACAGGTTTGTTTCTTCAAAGGAATTACAATATAAAATAAAACTCTTTTTCTTTTTACCATGTCTTTGACATTTTTGATCTCTTCATAAACCTTTATCATTACGTTAAGTGCAACTTTCTTACTAATTGTAAAACTTAAGAACTGAGTTTTCAGATTTTAATTCACTCTGTGTCAATAACAATGTGGTTTTCTAGTGTTAGTAGATTATGAGACTGTATCTCAAAGCTTGATGGCATTGATCTTTAAAAACATCACCCAAACAAGTAAATGTCCTGTTGCCCCTACAGTCAAACTGCTGTGCAATTAAAAGTACAGACCAATCAGATGCAACTATGAAGGATAAAGTAACCCAGCTGTACTTAAAACAAAAACTGTTTATTGGTTTTGCTTATTTTACAGCTGGAATAGTCAGCGCCATAAAAAATGTGCAATTTATGTAAGAAGCTTTTTGATTTGTTTATAGATTTCTAGATTTCTTTGCACAGCTGACTAATTTTTGTGAATGACATCAGACATCAGACATCAGACAACAGACGGGATTTTGACTTATTTAGTGACTGGACTGATACCTGGCAGATGAAATTTAACGTAGATAAATGTAAGGTAATCCATGCAGGGAGCAGAAATATAAAGCACAGATATTTTATGGGTTCCACTGAAATAAAGGTAGCTGATTACGAGAAAGACCTCGGTGTGTATGTTGATGCTTCCATGTCCCACTCTCGCCAGTGTGGGGAAGCAATAAAAAAGGCCAATAGGATGTTGGGTTATATCTCTAGGTGTGTGGAGTTTAAGTCAAAGGAGGTGATGCTATGATTATATAATTCCTTGGTAAGACCCCACCTAGAATATTGTGTGTAGGTTTGGTCACCATACCTTAAAAAGGACATTGCTGCCTTAGAAAAGGTGCAAGGTAGGGCTACAAGAATGATTCCTGGTCTTAGAGGAATGTCTTATGAGGAGAGGTTAGCTGAGCTGAATCTGTTCAACCTCACACAAAGGAGACTAAGGGGGGACATGATCCAGGTCTATAAGATTCTGACAGGTCTGGATGCTGTTCAGCCAAATGGCTACATTAATATTAGTTTAAATACTAGAACTCGTGGCCATAGGTGGAAATTAGCCGGAGAACATTTTAAACTGAATTTGAGAAAACACTTCTTTACACAGCTTGTAGTTAGAGTATGGAATAGTCTTCCTGCTAGTGTAGTGGAAGCTAAAACCCTGGGTTCCTTTAAATCACAGCTAGATAAGATTTTAACAAGTCTGAGCTATTAGTTAAGTTCTCCCCAAACAAACTTGATGGGCCAAATGGCCCCCTTTCGTTTGTAAATTTCTTATGTTCTTACATATAGTATTGCAATCAGACTGTTTTTTACGAGCTATTGTCAGGAAGTGTTACCTTCAAAAAGTGGAAATGTTACAATGCTTTCCTGCCAAGGGTGTCCACCGGGGGCGTTGTTGTAGTCTTGAAACATCGAGGGCTTAAAAATCTTTAAATGTTCCAATAATTGCAGCATTAAGATATTTCAGAATATATGATGTGAGATATTCCACTAAAAGGTTCTTGTAAGTTACATAGGCCTGCTGTGCGCTAGCTTGGTGAGCTAACTACAGAATGAAGCTGTCACTTCTGAATAATTTGTAGTAAGTGAAATGAAATGGCTGGTTAGTGAAATCAAAGTCCTGCATTTCAGATAGAATGGGTCTTTATATCTCATGGCCATCCACAGTGATATGAATCAATTTGACGAAACATAGACATGTCAGTCATGGAGATGATTTTTTTCCGAATAATAACGCGAAACTTCGATCGAGTCAAAAACATTTTCTATTTTCTATTTACGACGCATTATTGTGTGTTTCTGAATAATGTATTCTTATTAGGGTGGATCCCTACCAAAGTACCAGTCGTGGTTCTCAAACTGTGCCGTCACACACTATATATAGTGTGCCTTGGGAGCTGGACAGGCGGGATTTGGAATTAGTCTTACGATGTTTTCAATGTAAAGGAGTGCCCTGGAAAAACTTGTTTTCATAAATTGGCGAGTCATGTTTCAAAAACGTTTGAGAACCACCGGGCTCCACTAGCCTGCTAGCCAGCAAGCCTTGGATCTTCTTCACCAACCTGAGAAAGCTCTTCCTCCACGTCCCCGAGCCTCGCTTGTGCCTCCTCGTCTTCCTTATTTTATTTTATTTTATTTATTTATTTATTTTTAAAAAGCTTCTTATATCTGTAATTATTTTTGTGTACTTTGATGTATTAATTATAGTGGAGACCATGCAATGATATAGGTTATAGTGATCGATCAACCGCTTATGAGGATGAAAAAGCTTGGAACAGAATCATTCCTGTACAAATACTGTTGAAATAATTTGCTTACAGTAATCAGGTACTCTGCTTACAGCGTTCATTTAGGGTTTTTTTTTTTTTTTTTTTTAAAAACATGACAACACATGGAATAAATTGAAACCGCGGTGTTTAATTTTTTTTACTTTACTTTGGATCGTCCTATTTTGCCTTGCGGTGACTCATTTGCATCTTAATGCGGCGTGCACAAAACATGACAGAAGTCATTTTCTCTCGAGTTACTAATTCCTCCTCTCGAGTTAGTAATTACCAATCAGAGAGCAGGAGTTACTAACTCGAGAGGACGAATTAGTAACTCGAGTACGAATTACTATGAGATCATTTTTTTCCTGCATACCATGACACATATAATAAAGGGCTCCGTACTATCACACCATCGTGAAGCTGAAATATCTTTAAGCGAGCGGCATCTGTAGACCTATATTGTCTGCCTCTTATAAAAAATGTAGCCTATAACAGGGATTATATCCAGGAAAATAAAACATGGAAAAAGATATTCTGCTCCTCCTTGAATCTCCAATCAACATTTCAGTCAATGCATACAAACAAAGGCAAATTGTGCTGTTTTCGGGAGTTTTTTTCCATCCAAATTTTCATCTGCCTGACCACATTTCAGTATTAAAATCCAAAAAAATGACGTCAGTGTGGTTAGTTTACATCTGAAGAGCTGTACACAGCCTCCTATTCCCCACGGACTGAGTTTGTTGATGCCTACGCTTCCGTTTGACGCGCCAACCATCCTACAAGTTCTTATTTTTTGTGTTCCAGTTTAATTCATTTCTATTTATTTCCCTTATTGGGTTAGTGACCCTCTTAGTGTCCTTTGAAATGTTTATTTATCCAAAGCTTGTGACCTCTGCCCTCAAGTTAGACACATTACAAAAATTAACCTTTGGAAGATGTAGAAAACGGAAATAGATCCCGAAATCATGGTTCCTCACATAAATGTGTTAAGATTTTATGTTATATGTGTATGTGTAACAATAATTACATTTTATAACAAAATATTTTGGAAATCGGCGCTGACCTACTAGAATGATATTATTATTTTATAATATTTTCATGTTGGGGGTGGGAGTTTGGCGGTTCCCATGGTTGCTTTTAATATAATTATTGTAATTTTCTCTGGGTCAAGTACACCTTGGCAGTTATACACATATTTAATCCCAAAATGGGCATGTCAGTCACATTATCCATTATTGCTTTTGGATGTATTTGTGCCTTTAGTAAGGAACAAGAAAACTGCTAAGATAAAGACTTGCACAAAATGTTCTGAGGGAAGGAGGAAACATGATTGGCTGAGAGAGATAACCAATCCAATTATAGAGGAGGTGGGTCCAAGCAACTAGAGGAGGCAGGACCAAGACATGTGATTGGTTGGACCCATGAGCAAAATAAAGCTTAAGTCTGGTATGAAAATGAATGAATGAATGCGTGATGCTTTTTTTTGGTTGATGCTGTAGGGCCCAGATTAGCACTACTACCTCAGAGATTCAATGTAAGATATTTCAATCCTGCCCTTACTGTGTGTGCGCTTTACATATTCTTCCTGTTACTCCCACTTTCAAAAAACATGCGGTTTAGGAAAATGTGTGTCTCATATTGACTATTATGCACTTGTGGTGTGGCACCTTCGGAGCACAGGCCTCTTACCCAAAACGTTCCTCTGGCTTCTGCCCTCTCACACAAACATTTTGTATTACTTTAACCACAAAACATTTAAAAAACATATTGTAAAGATTATTCTTTACAAATCCTTTTTCAATGCATTTACATTTGTATGGTAATATTTGATATTCTCAGTATTGTGGGCTTAACCAAAATATAGTGACTTAAGTACCTTTAAAATGACTTATTATAGGAATTTACCTGAATTTATTGTAGGAGTCTTAACCTGAAAGTCGAAGCCGACCTGTGGACTGAATAGTGAGAAGACAATCCTGCACTGGTTCTTTCAGCGTATCTGCCAGACACCACAGAATGCAACCAAACTTTATATAACAGGACAAACATGAGCAGCTGCTTTCTATGAATTTTTCAGGCAAAGGTTCAGGACTACAATTAAGCACGAGACGGTCAGCCTTTGCACGATTGGCCGATGCATCTTGTAATTAACCAGAATGTTGTGATGCTATCACCATTTTGCTAACAAAATAAAGAAACACAACATCCCCCCCGCTAATCGCCCGTGCCGTTTCTTCAGCTCAGCCTCCACCCATTTCCATTGACTTACCGTAACTCTCCCGCGTAAATCTGCAAGCCTTCATCCGCGGTGCAAACGGGCCCCAGGCTGAAGCAAAGACTCCTTTATGGCCTTTTAAAAGGCTCCATTCACAGAACTACGCTATTTAACGCTATTCAGCTTAAGGGCCGGCGGCCGGCCCAATGACCTCATTATCATTCCACACAGATAATTACTATGTCATTCTATCTCTGCAACAAAAAGTCATGTCAATCCCACCATAACTGTTTGTTTAGGGAAAATGCAATAGTTTGAAGGTACAGATGATGAATGATATTTAAAATGTGCATTGCTACTGGCTATTAGTGAAGGAAGGAAGACTAGGTACCTGCATCATTTGACTTTGGGAAAGAGTCCTTGAGTTTCACAAGGCAATCAAAAAAGATCTTTCACATTTATTGATCACAGAGACTTTGAACATTTGTGTATAATATCACACCTTCCTGGAATGTACCCAAAACCAATGCTGTCCCCCTCTCTTTCTCTCTCTCTCTCACACACACACACACACAGACACACACACACACAGACACACACACACACACACACACACACAGGCCATCAATAACAGCAGTTTAAGGCTCATTCACCACAGATATCAAACACATTTCTGGAAACTCTTGGATTCCTGTTGAAGAACTTTGTGACTTCATTACAAGCCACAAATAGTTAAAGTAAACCAAAAACCCCCATTTTGTCTCCTTTTACTGGAAAAAGTTGTGACTTTCAATTAAAAAAAAAAGTTTAGTAAAAAGGTCAACATCAAACGACACCAACAGGATTCAGACCACACTTCGATACATACGCATTAATGAACAACAGTGCTAACAGCTGCATAAAAACATGTATGTTTATAACCAATTAAGAGGAAAAAAATAAAAGGGTCAAGCAGTCACTGGAATGTTCTTGTCATTCTGGCGGAAACGGCACGTTTCACGGGGCTTTGCGTTATTGCTTCACAAGACAAGTTTCTCTTTCTCAGGAAATGTAGTTATTCATGCAGTAAACCTGGCCTCCATGCTGTATAAAAAGAACTACGCACATTAACCCCGGCAGCCCTGGAGTATAGAGTCAGCTGGGTCCGAAGTAGCTGAGCGTGGCTGTCTGCCCGCCGGCACGTCATGAGTCTGGGCAGCAGTGCAGTCTGGCCCATGCACCTGCACTTGCACTGGAGACACAAAGTGGCAAGTAAGGAGACTCTTTGGCACACGCTGGGCACAGAAGGACAAATCCCAGTGCTTGTTATCGAAGGCTGTGCCTAATCCCAGCACTTGTTATTGAAGGCTGTGCCCAATCCCAGCGCTTGTTATTGAAGGCTGTGCCCAATCCCAGCACTTGTTATTGAAGGCTGTGCCCAAGGCCAGGAATGTCAGCACAGGGACTAAATGCTCAAGGCTTTATGTGCGTTAGGGTGGGGGGTGGGGGGTGGCGGAGGAGGTTAAAGACCAATTTCCAGTTCTTAAACATTTATCAAAAAAAAAAAAAAGACTAGTTCCCAAAACAGTTGGTCCAACATTAAAATGCATCTAATCCAAAAATGGTTCCCTATTTATTAACAAAACTCATTTCACGAAGAGCTGAACACAGTGTGCTATAAGGCCCATTGTGTCGTTTCGCGCTGACTTGCAGTAACAGCAAGTTTTAAAAACGAATCAGGGCGTAAAACAGACATCAGATCGAAGCGGTCGTGCTTGTAACAGTGTAAAACCAGGCGTGACCCAATTCGGCGCCATTCCACCCGTGTCAGCTTGACGTCTGGATTTCTGCCTTTGACATGGACGGACACGCCCCCCCAGTGCCCCGCCCCCTTCCCAAAAGGCACACCAGACGCCTGTGGTCTTGCCGTTGGCTTTCCTTCAGTGCGGCCACGCACGTGCGCTCGGTCAGGCCGGTTAAAGATGAGGTCACTGTTTGGCACCCCCTGGGGGGTGGGGAGCAACATCGCCGGAGAGGCACAGGAAACCCAGTCGGCCAGCTGGGTAGAGGCACATCCTCAGGCTCCGGCTGGGCTTAAGACATTTTAAAACCAACGAAACGAATCAGAACTATAGGATGATGGGAAAAGTGGGATGGAACTGGAAGAGTGGGTAGATGGGGGTGGTTTATACGGCTTGTGCAGAGATGGGGACAGCGGCGCAAGCGGCGGGCGTGAACGGCGGGGCTGGCACTGACGCATCCACTGCGGGTGCCGTGCTCGGGGGCCGGGGGGGCTCAGCCGGCGGCGGTGGAGGTGGAGCGGGGAGGCTTGGTTTGTTCAGGCCGAGGCCCAGGATGTGACGCTGCAGGTGTCTCACCCAGTCCTCCTGGACAGACAGAGGCCCACGGAACTCCAGTTCGCAGAACCTGGGCCAAGGGGAAAGACAGTGAGCCAATCAGGTTAAAGCAAAAAGTTTAGTATGTCTTTCCATAGGATAATGACGCAGAGAAGAAAACAAACCCAACTAACTCATGTGTCACTCAAACACCACAGCTGTAAGATGCTAAAAAGCAGCTTAAAGGAGGAGGAGCAGCTGAAACACCTGCAGTGAGGACTGCTGATCCGCACACACACACACACACACACACACACACACACACACACACACACACACACACACACTCACCGGCACTTGAGCGAGTAGACGTCGCCCACCACCTTGACAAGAGGCGAGGAGGGCGGCTTCGGCACCAGGGAGGGGACCGGGTTGGACCTGGCGCCCTGAGAGGGGCCCTTCTCTCGTGCCCGGGCTTCTGAAGTGGGTAGGTGCTTTGGGGGCCGGCGCTCAAAACCTGGAAGGGGAGAGAGAGAGAGCGAGAGAGAAAAACAGAGAGAGAGATGGGTAGAGAGTAAGAGAGACAGAAATTGATGGCAGGCAGAGAGAGATAAAGAGACAGACAGGCAAAGAAAGAAAAAAATAGTTAGGAAGAAAGCAAGAGAGGGATGAGAGAGAGAGAAATAGGCAGATGGAGATAGATGGACAGAAAAAGACAGGAAGAGAGTAAGACAGATAGTGAAAGGGAGAGAGAGAGACAGGGAGATGGGCAGAGTGAGGTTAACAGGGGTATCATGCAAGAGCCACTGCTGTTTCTATTTTGTCCTTATTGTGTGACAGTGATGGACTAGATTCCCTTCCTGGGTGTTTATGCTCCCTGTGGAAGGTAGAGGGACAGACAGAATACACTGGTGCATTTGTGGAACATGAGGTACTTTATAATGGTATTAGATCTGGGGTTTAGCTTAAAGAACCACCGGATGTCATCCTAGGTCAGCCGCTCCCGCTCAGGAAAGGAGCGCATTCTTTCAGCAGGAGCGTCACTCACCTCGGGGGGAGCGCACGTTGACTTCACTGTGGGCCCCTTGGGAGTGCGGCAGGGAGTCGGCCCGCCGGACAGGGATCTTGCTGCCGGGACTGAGGCACTTGCCCTCCACCGGCCGTGAGGAGCCTGCCAGGCCCTTGATGACCTCCCGACCCGCACGCTTGCCCGATGAAGCGCCAGGGGACACGAACTTCTGGACCCGGCCAGGTGAGCGGTCCGGCCCAGTCAGTAAATGGAAGGAGCCCGATTTCTGTAATGGTAGGCGGCGAGCGGCAGAAGTGATGTCAACTACAACAGGACACACCACCATGACAAAACTGTTAATGGGGGGGGGGGGGGTGATGGGAGGAGGGAAGAGAGAGCAACAGACGGGGATGGGGGAGGGGCCATGTGGTGCCCTAGGCGAGTTTCACCTCCAGCACATCATGTAATATTACTGCAACATGCTTGTGTATTCGATTAATCGCGATTAAAAAAAATAACTTGAAAGCCCAATAAACTATCTTTGTTCATTTTGAAATGTTGGCCACTTACATTTGTTTTTTTCCCACATCATATTAACCTAACAAACTCTTTGACAATGTTCCTCTCCCTCCAAAAGTAAAAATTGTCTGGCCAAACCTGTGCCCCCTAGGTTGGCACCCTAGCTGGCTGCCTATAGTGCTGTTTCCCAACCTAGTCCTAAGGAACCCCGAGACAGCCCATATTTTGCTCCCTGCCAGCTCACCGAGCTGGGAAGCTGCACAGTGAAAAGAAACTCGACAGGCAGCACCGGTGGTGGCTGACAGGAGGCCTGAGCAGGATATCAACAGCACCCCCTTGTGGAGACTGTTACGCCACTCGCCTTCCTGGGCTGGGGCCAGCCCCCTAGGGAGCTGCAGCGGCGCTGCATCTCGACCACGCGGCGCGGTTCACTGTGCATCCAGGCCCGCAGCGTCTCGATGGGGGAGCCATTGATCGTCCACTTGGTCACACCGAACTGGCGCAGGTGCGCCCTCGCGTGGCTGGCCAGCGCCTTGCGGTTCTCGAAGCAGAAGCCACACAGCTCACAGCTGGCGTCCATGCCTGCGGGGAAAAGGCGACCATTTCGGTTCAGAAACCCACAGGGGAACATGCAGAACCTGCAGAAACTCGTGGATTTCACCTAACCAGATGTGCCGCTCAGAACCGTGACCCCCAGACCGCTATGAGAAACCATTACTGCTCCTTACCCACGTGACCTGATGCCTGCTTGTCCATGGAAGACTTGTCCTTGAACACAGAGTCTTGAGGTACGGGCAAGAAGGTTTTTGAGTGGGGCGTTAACCTGTCCTCTGCATGTGCTCCACCAGGGAACGGCCTCTTGCCTGGGGTGCCCCCACCCTTCCCACCGAGGCTCAGCTTGGGGAGACCAATCACGGGCTTCTGTTGGTGTCGCTGTGGCGACTGACAGCCAGACTCCTCCCAGTTTGAGGGAGGCTCCTCCTTCACCCGCTGCCGACAGGGAAGGCCCCGCCTCTTGATCTCCTCCATCAGGGTGTCGATGGGCGAGCCGTTGACCGACCACTCTGTGATGCCCATCTGGCGTAGGTGTGAGCGGGCGTGGCTGGACAGCCCCTTGCGATTCTCGAAGACCTCGCCGCAGAACTCGCAGCAGACGTCCCGGGCCGGCTCTAGCTCCGGGGATCTCACTGCGGGGACCAGGAGAATGTCCTCACATGCCAGGCCAGACTCGTTACCACCTATGTCCAGTCCTAGCCAGCTCTCAGCCCTTTGCAGCATATTTATCTTAAACTGCATCTTTTTTTTACCCATGTAACAGTGAAGGATGGAACAATCTTAAACTAGTTAATGAAATAACTTATCAAATTGAAATGGACTATGGACTTGAGGGGCTCACCCATGCGGGGGGACTGTGCAGCCTCTGTAGCCGGCCAGCAGCGGGCAGAACTGTGTGCTTTGGGCTGAGGCTTGTGACCCTCTGCCGTACCAGGGGCCTCACTGACGGGCACCTCGACGGGCTCCGGCTTGGGCCGGCAGGCCTTGCGTGCGGTGGGCAGGCGGCCGTGGGAGCTGGTGGAAACTAAGGGCGAGCACTTGGGGGGCCCAGGGGAGGCGGGGGAGGCCAAGGGGGACAGCGATGGTGGAGCAGGGGAAGCGGGTGGGGACTTGAGGGTGCGGGGAGACTGCAGGGCGCAGCGGAGCCCACGCCGGGCCACCTCCTCCATCAGGGTGTCGATGGGCGAGCCATTGACCGACCACTCGGTTATGCCCATCTGCCGCAGGTGCGAACGGGCGTGGCTGGACAGCCCCTTGCGGTTCTCGAAGTACTCGCCGCAGAACTCGCAGCTGACCACCTTCGAAGACTCACCTGGGAAATAGGGAGGAGCAGAGCCAATGAAAACTAGCAAACATGGTGGAGTTCGGCCGCTTGGTGGAGCGACGGACTCACAGTGGGGAGATGCCGCCTGTTCTCTGCTGCCCGGCCGGAAGCCCTGCGACCCCAGGGAGGACTTTGGCCGCTTGCTGGCTGGGGGCCGCACTGGAGACGTGGGAGAGTCCTGCCCCCCTGGTGCAGAGCAACTGCCCATGGTCCGCTTGGCAGCAGGGGAAGATACCGAGGGAGGGGCCAGGCACAGCTCTGCGGCTTCCTCTGGGTCCAGAGCTGCCAGTCGGCGCTGGAAGTCCTCGCTATGAATAATGCGGCTGAGTGCGTTGATGGGCGGCCCACGGGCATCTGCGTCCCCCACGCCCAGGTGCCGCAGGTGAGCTCGTGCATGGCTAGACAGGCCCTTGCGTGTTTCGAACCAGGCCCCACACAACTCACACACGATGTCCTTGCTGGGATCCACTTCCAAGGCTGGGTGGGGAAAAGCAGTCGCGCTATCATTAATGCTAACGGAGTGATGCGAGTCTTGGGACATTTTCTATAATACATGGCCATGCAACCCACAGGTCTGGGCAGGTCATATCGCCGGCATATCCTTACCTAAGTTCAGCGGGGCGTCCGTTTCCTGTGGAGCCCAGAGGGGTTTAGGCGAGCCATGAGAGACCGGGCTCGAGGGGCTCCCCGAACTGGGCTTGCGCTCTGGGGATCGGAGCAGCGGTGAGCCTGGAGCCCTGTTCAGCAGAGGGGAAACGGAGCGGGATCGGGCTGGGGCATTGAGTGAAGAGGAGGAGCCCGAGGAAGCAGATTTGGTGGAGGGCAAGCGAGGGGATGGGGCAACTTTTTCAACAGGATTCACCACGTCGCACTGCAGTCCAGGGCTCGAGCGCTTCCTGGCAGCAGGTGCCCGGTTCCGGTGCTTCTTGGCGGGAAGGTGCGCCGCTACGGACAGAGGCACGTGGCCGTCCAAAGCTTTCTCCCGCACGAGTCGGTAGAGTAAGTCGATGGGCGCCCCGCTGCTCTCCGAAACCTCCACCCCCAGCTGTCGAAGATGCAGGCGGGCGTGGCTAGAGAGGCCCCGCCTCGTCTCAAAGAGGGCGTCGCACACCTCGCATCGCAAGAAGCCATTGGCTGGTGAAGAACAACAGGAAACAGATACCTCAGCAGATCCCTGAAGATAAGTGTTACAAGCCCTATTTTACAAGCTGCTAAACAAATGAATGTCACACTGCAGACCAAGATTCTCCTGCCTAAATTTCCACATACCCTTAGTATCCACTTTGTCTCTATGTGCAGGGGACTCCACGCGTTTGATCTCTTGCGCTAATGGAAAATCACTCTTGCACTCCGGACTTGTGGACATGTTTCCCAAAACTGGCATCCAGTCTTCCTCCTCACCTGAGTAATGACAGACAGGAGCTTTCCACGATGTAAACAAACCTCGCTAGTGTTTAGGGATTCTGCTGAAATTTACTTTAAATGCGTGTTCGCGTCAATAGGTGATGAGCTATGAATATTATCATAGGTAATATGTGTCAATCTTTTTCTTTTTAATCAATCAATAAACTGTCTATCTACTGCTAAAGCACCCGCATTTATTTCAGCAGCGCAAATATTAATCACCATTTAAACGACGACCAAGAATCAGCAAACCGGCCTCATATGACAGTCTTCCAGAACCATGCTAAGAATGAATGAACAGACATCGAGGTTTTAATAAATACTCGAAAACAAAGGGCTTTAATTATGTAGACAAGTCGGCAGTCGCAATTCCATATGCACACGTTGCATGTCAAGCGTTATTTATTAATAATTCAAAATTGCGGTTTTCAAGTCAACGCCGCCTTTAGATAACTTAAGCTGGCGCAGTACTCAGACTAATTCGGGAGCGCGTTCAATGGCGAGGACATGGGACGCGGGCTTCTTTAATGAAGGAATGCAGCTTCGAGCATTCTCGATTTGAAACAGCATGAACACGCCGCACATTCCAAGAAATGAAACAGACGTCGTCATTGCTTGCATTAAATATATCAGCCTTTATCAAACATACATTCAATCATACCGACTCGAAGAAAGGATCCGTTTCACAGTTCCACTCAGGGAAAAATAAAGGTAGATTTCTGGATTTCGTATATCAGGATTTTCGTGAATATGTGCTATTTGCTTGAGCTGCTTAAGCCGACAGTCCCTTGCGATGCCGTAACAGTACTTGGCCTCGCGCTTTCGGTCTTTGACGGCTGCCCATTAAGACGGTCCGATTCTGACGGATTTGATAACGACGATCGATTGCATGTGATCGGGAGGTGACTGCAACGTGTGTTCTCAGGCGAAGCCCATGACTGGCGCAGTACTCACCGTTGAAAAGCTGCAGCGTATCAGAAACCCGACCGCTACACCCGGACGGTTTTTCCGCTATTGTTTGTGACTGCGGGGAGGTGGAAGCAGCCATTTTGCCCCATACACATGAAACGCCGGGCTAGGCGTGAACAATCGAGCCAGACCCAGCTAATCGATCAAACAGGGCATAGTGCATACTGCTATGCGCTCACACGAGAATATTTGAACAAGATACATAGGCGTACGTCAATTTAAGCTATTTTCGTGTATAAATATATCGTTGTTAAATTCACAGTTACAGTGTAGCTGTGTAGCACCGTCGGAATCCAAGGGCATTCTCGCACCGACAGGAGAAAAGCTTAGGTTCCGTGTACTGTATTATTATTTATTGACACACACCCCCCTCCCTCCCCCAGTCTGGGTATCCTGTGATGGAGTGACATTCCTTCTGAGGTCGTGACCTATCCACCAGTCTATCCAGAATTTGCTTAGCGAAGTTAAGCACCAGGTTAGCTTCAGGTTAGTAACTTTCAATAGTAACTGTGCCTGCAGAGAGTAGTGAAGACAGCAGGGTGCATCTCCCTTCAATTCAAGACAATTTTTACAAACACAGTGTCTCGTGCAGGACCCATCACATCCCTCACATGACCTTTTCACTCTCCTGCCATTCAAGAGTTGATGCCAGAGCCAGGTCTGCCAGGCTGCCACATGCCGACCCATAAGCATACACTGCACTTCACACTTTGTCACTCTGACATGGGGCAACGAGAAGCTACTGCTGTTATCATACATCGTTTTACACTGTGAACTCACTCTGCTACAGTGTACATGTTGGTGAACTCAGGTCGAACTTGCTAACTCTTATTACATTAAACACATGGCATGTCTTTAATACAGTTTTGACAATACTGCATATTACAGTATATTGCACAATGTATACTTCTTAAAATATGCACTATCCTATATGTCCTTTACACATTGTCTTGTTTTTTATGTTTATGTTTTTAAGTTTATGTTCACATTCTGGTTGAGCTTCGACGTCTAGAGAATCCGTCTAGAGAGTCAGTAAGGCGGACTGAAGCAAGTAACAGGTGATGACAAGTGTAGGTTGATTTAGGACCATTGATTGCCAAGGCAACGGGATCTTAAAAATCTATTTTCTCTTGTTAGAAGAACAAATTCTTCTAAATCCATGGGCATCAATATGGAGTTGCCCCCACTTTTCTGGTATAACAGTTGCTATTCTTCTTGGAAGGATTTTCAGAAGATTATGGAGTGTGTCTGTGTGGAATTTTCCCCATTCATCCAGAAGAGCATTTGTGAGGTCAGGCACTGATGTTGGATGTGAAGGCCTGGCTCGCAATCTCTGTTATAGTTCATGGCAAAGGTGTTTGATGGGGTTGAGGTCAGGGCTCTATGCAGGCCAGTCAATTTCTTCTACATTACTCACCCAACCAGGTCTTTATGGACCTTGCTTTGTGCACTGGGGCACAGTCATGCTGGAACAGAAAAGGGCCTTCCCCAAACTGTTCCCACAAAGTTGGAAGCATAGAATTGTCCAAAATTTCTTGGTATGCTGAAGCATTAAGAATTCACTGGAACTAAGGGGCCCAGCCCAACCTTTGAAAAACAACCCCATACCATTAGCCCTCCTCCACCAAATTTTACAGTTAGTATAACTGTAGTTTGCAATTGCAGTCAGGCAGGGAATGTTCTCCTGGCATCTGCCAAACTCAGACTATCCATCAGACTGCCAGACAGAGAAGTGTGATTTCTCACTACACAGAACATGTTTCCACTGCTCCTGAGCCCAGTGACGGCGTGCTTGATACCACTCCATGTGATGCTTGCCTAGACTTTATGTTTCAGCATTTAAAACCCAGCAGCAGTTAGCCCACTGGCAGGCCAACACAGGTTAAATTAGAAGTCTTATGTGTCAAATACATAATCATATACCATACTACTGTGTAGTGAAATGCTTTTCCACCTGCTTTCTGGATTGTGCAATACAAAGAAAACAACAATATTAAAAGAAAATATAAAACATTCAAGAGTTCTTTATTGTCAACACAACCATGCACAAGTACACAGTGCATTGAAATACCGTTTCTCTTGCGCCCTCTATGATGCTACACGAATGGAGTAACATCCACAATATTAAAAATGTACTATAAATATAATGTACAATACAAATAGGATAAAATAGAAAAATAAAGAGCAGTATCCAACAGTAGTAAAATATAGTGCAATTACAGTATGGAATGATAAAAGTGCGCAGTGACAGCAGTTACGAGCTTTTAAAAGAGCAGCTTAGCGCTGTGCCCTGGCGTACACAGAGCAGTACGTGCCATCCACCTGTGGGCAGTGCCGCTTGGTGTGTGCCCGAGCCCCAGTGGCCCCGCATAGCGGGCAAATGTATTGCCGCAGGTATGGGCAGCTCACGCCACCCGCCTGGTCCCTGAGGCAGTGGGACCGGAAGACAGCCTCCGACTCCCCATTGTGTCTGCAGAAACTGCAGATAGGCCGTTGCGGTTCTGGAGACTCCTTTCCCCCAGACTGCCAAGGTCCAGCTGCGGGCTGCTTGGAGCTGCTTTTCCCGCCATCCACTGCATTGTCTGTATGCCGCTCGACAGACATCGGCAGCCACCGGGCAGATCCTGGCTGGTCCCCCACCCGACCTGGTCCTTCAGGCACGGCAGGTCCAGCTTGCATGGCCCGGATGATGTCAGCCAACTGCAGATAGTCCCTCCATGGCTGAAACTCCATTTACGTGCAAACCAGAGACGTCTTCCGAGCTCGGAACAAAATGCACTAAAAAGAAACAAGAATAAAATACATCACAATCCTTAGAACCCCAAAAAACCTAGAACAAATTAAACATTTAGGAGGAAATATCCCCAGCCTGGCCAATGACCCTCCCCACTCAGATACTACACTTAATCTCAGCTAGGGCTGTCACGTCGTGATGTGATCACGATTATAAAGAGGGTGCGCGATAATCACCAGGGTTTTACATGACGGGCAAAACAAGTATGGCTTCTCGATACTATATGGACGTTTACTCACACCAACAGTTTGGTAAGCAGATTAGTAGTGTGCCTAAAATATTACTGAGATGCGTATTGTAACCCACAAAAGTTTGTGAACTTCCTCGTATCCTCGTGTTTAATAAACATCGGACGTTAAACTGCAAAAGGTACCGGCAGACCACCGACGTCTATTTACCTTGTTTATCCACGATATCTCCTCTTTCAAAAGCTGTGCCTGCTGAGCTCTCCCTTTCTTCACCACCACTTCAGTGCTTATCGCTTCCATGATTTACCAAACCAGTACTATGTGGCGTATGGATACGCCAAATTAATTTACTGTTTGTTATCCAGCTAACTGGGAAATTCTGCTTTGTGGAATGGCCCTAATAGGGCTGATTTTCCAGCCTTCCTTCAGTTTTATTGTGTTCACCCACTTTTAAAGTATAGATCATTCATGCACCCTTGTCCGGTTTGGTGCCTCATGCACAGGCTCTTTGAGGGACAGACACATGCTTTAATGCCCACCGCTCAGCATGCATTTATGATTTTGCTGTTCATATACTTAAGATGGCCTCATGTACAACGGAATAAAACGTTCACGGACTCTTCTTCAAAACTGCTGAAATGTTACACATGTGCGTATGGCGTCACATAGATGTCCAAACTAGAGAGAGATAAAACACAAAGATTTTGGAGAAGGCAGCATGCCCCCAGATTGTGAAAGTATCCATCCGAAAATGCCATGCCCTCGCTTCAGGCATCCTACCAAAGCTGCTACTCCTAAACTCATTTAGGCGTGTGGCAAGCTAAATATCCTATTAAACAATCTTATCCTATTGCTAAGACCTACTCAGCACAATTTAACTTTTACTAGTAACAATTCATATTTGACAGGCACGAATCATCATTTTTACTGGTAAGAACTGTATTGTTGCTAGTAAAAATTCATATTATAGTGCTCTATATTCGATTTTTGCTAGTCATATATTCCCATTGACTTCTATTGTATCTTTGCCTCACATATCCTAAATTCAATTTTTACTAGTAAAAAGTCATACTATATAGATCTATAATTCAGTTTTTAATAGTAAGAACGTCTATTGTAGATATATGTGATTTCATCTGACTAGTAAGAATTACAGGTCTGCATATCCACAATTACATTGTAGAGATCTGAAATTCACATTTTGTATATGCACAATGTAACTGTAAAGATCTATAATTGAATTTTTACTAGTGAAAACTCAATTATGGATATGCGGACCTGGAATTCTTCCTAGTCAAAGTTTAAGCTTGAAAAGTTTTAGAATTTCCAGCACGTTTCCTCCATAATGTTTGCCAGCCAAGCAGCTCGAGTACCTATAGCCTACCTGGCGTTTTTTCCCTATGCCTTTGCCTGATCTTTTTCAGGTTTTGCTCTTCAGATCTTCTCATTGGCTGATTCCTGGTCATCTCTATTGTTCATCACATTAGCATGTGCTAGATGCACCCCTCCCCCGTCCTGTGCACGAACGTGAAAGCTCCCTGTTGTTGATTGGCTGGAACACTGTTGCGCTCCGAGCCACTTTGCCCCCCCCCCCCATTGACAGAGCCCCGAGATTGCAGACACCGGTGATTCTTTCATTGCACACAGAACTGTCCTGATAACTTTGCCTAGTTTGACTAAAAGTGATACAACGACATAGAAATAGGAAAGACTGGAAATGATACACGAAAGTGGCGAAAACCAAAAGAAAACTGATCTACAACTCACTCGACCTAAGTGCATTATTCTCTACAAACATGAACGACAATGTAACTTTCAGCTAACTCGATAACACGGCCATTATACACGCCTGCTGTCTGGCTGCAAAGTGCAAACACCTCAAAAAAGACCGATACAGTCAATAAACCGGTGCCTAATCAAACACGTGTAAAACAACGACTTTCCCCCTTTTCACAAAAAATCATTTAAACAACATATACACTCTTCACTCTCTTGGCATCTGTAACCTATTGCACTGGGTACGGGGGACAACGGAAAGATGCTCGTTTTCAAACTCCCCATTTTAGTGTGACCTCCACACTTGCTTTTGGTTTGCGCAGTTGGTCCTTTTCTATGCTGAAAATCCACCAATATAACGGCGAACCACAAGAAGCTCGATGGCATAATTTTTACTACTTGAAGAAAAACGTCACATATCCCTTAAACAACACCTTAACGAGCAAAAAAAAGCCGTTATACCCTACCTATCTGGGAATGGCAAAGGGCATCGACTTCCACCCAACAGCGTCCGCGGTGCAGCGTAACCTCCTCACTAGTGATGGCCCGTGCAGCACCGAAGCTCCGAAACATATAAAAGTTGCAGGTGACGACCAGGGCATGCATTTGGGTTGAGCATTGGGGGGTTGACGTCTCCACCCATTAAAGGGGGTCCAGGGGGTTGTATTGGCTAGTTTTGATTATGGGGGGGTTACAACCCTCCCATAATTTACGCCCAGGGGTGACAACCCCCGCTGAAGCCCCATATCGAAGAGCTTATCGTTTCAAGGAGAATCACGTGACCGCTAAAACTGAGGTGTCGGTGGAGTGTCCCGGCGCGACAGTGCTGTGCGGTGTTACTGTAGCAAGCCAACTTGTCTTTTATTAGTATAAGCCTTATACTACTAGACAGTTTGGCTTGGCATAGCTCGATAGATATCTGTGAACGAGGCGCCGATGCGTCGCAGATGCCCGCCAGATATTTCGTGTGCTAAATATCTAGACCGTCGGCGACTCCAAATCCTGCAAGTGTGAAAAGTGTCAGAGCTACAGCCAATGAAAACGCAAGACACGGGGTGACGTGAAACCCGAGGCAGGAGTTTAAAAAAAGTCATTTGATTTAAGTGTTTTAACAATTAGTAGCGCATTGACATTTCATAACAAAACATAGTTTGGAGACCAGACAAGGATTATTCCAGGGTACTTTTTTGTGGGAAAATATTAGACTTATGTGTAAATGAACCTGCAATGTCGACTCATCAACCTCATGAACTAAAGTTTGCTGTGACTTTGGCACATTTAGAGAGGTGTGTGCATTCCAGGGGGGTCGGAAAATGGGTCAACGCGTCCACCCCTATGTCGGCAGAACCCCCCCCCCCCTTCTTAGTTAATAAAGACATACATAATCAGCAATTCGCTATGCATTTAGAGCTCAAAGACGAAACCTAACTAAGACTGTATTATGTATCAGACAAAATTCTTTTATTGTTTCGTTTGATTTTTAAACTATACCCTTAACTTGGATAGTCTAATTTTAAATGGTACATTAAATGAAAAAAATCTTTTCTTTATTATTTAAAAAATATATTTAAATCTTTCTTACATGGTTTCCTTTCTCATTTCAGAGACGTGCGTGGGGGCCACTTGCAGTGTGAGCTAACAGCAGTGATAAAAGACAGCAAAGTATGTCGGTATAGTAACTAAGGACGTTTTAGGAGCCACGGAACGTGAAGTTACAACTAAAGGTGGAACTTACAAACGACTTAGTGTTAAGAAGGCTTCGAGAAACGCAACCCTGGCAGTTTTTACGTCTTAACAAAACTACATTGTAATTGATGAACAGCTTGATAGAAAAAGCATCATTTTCATAATGTCAGTAAACTCCAGAAAGGTACAGCATTAGCGGCGAACAGCACTTCTCTTTGGTAAAAGTCGAAGAATAGCGCGCATGTGTATGTTAATGCCACAAAAACAAAATGCGCAGTGAATACGTTGTAAACTGAGCACGTGCGGCACCGGGGCTCTGAAGCCGGACTTGGGCGTGACGTCACACCCGTGTTCCAGTACAAAATGTAAGGTATTAATACTAGGGACTAGCTGGATAACTTCAAATGGCTTCCGACAAGTTATCCAGCTAAACAAGAAATCATGCCTTCTGAAACAGACCCCAGTTCCCATAACTGGGTTCATTGTTAGCCATTGTTAGTAACACCACTCGATAACGCATGCGGCAGGGTAGTAGCCCTTAACCCCCAACTCCATGGGCACCACTATGGGTGGCTGCCCTTTGCTACCAAGCTTGCTCTTGCCTTATACATTATATTCCTAAAGTATTGGGACACCTGCCTTTACACACACATGATAATGACATCCAATTGATTATACATAGGCTTTAATATGGAGTTGGCCCACCCTTTGCAGCTATAACAGCTGTCCACAAGGTTTAGGAGTGTGTTTATGTGAATTTTTGACCATTCTTCCAGTAGAGCAATTGTGAGGTCAGGCACTGATTTTGGCTGAGAAGGCTTAGCTCGCAGTCTCTGCTCTAATTCATTCCAAAGGTGTTTTATATCAGGTTGAGGTCAGGGCTCTGTGCAGGCCAGTCAAGATCCTTCACAGCAGACTCGCTCATCCATGTCCTTATGGACCTTGCTTTGTGCACTGGTGCTCAGTCATGTTGGAACAGGAAGGGGCCCCCCAAATCGTTGGCACAATGTTGGGAGCATGAAATCATCCAAAATGGCTTCGACTGATGCAGCACTGAGTTCCTTTCACTGGAACTAAGGGCCCAAGCCAAACCCCTGAAAAACAACCCCACACCATAATCCCCCCCTCCACCAAACTTTACACTTGGCACAATGCAGTCAGGCAAGTACCGTTCTTCTGGCAACCGCCAAACAGAGAAGCATGATTCGTCATTCTAGAGCGCAGTGGCTACATGCATCTGGCCAACAGGGATTTATTATTATTTGACGCAAACAAACACTGTAGCAACAAGTCAATAGATAGCGGATGCACAGTACTGTGTGCACGACTGATTTAATGAGACACAATTCTTAAGTGCTAATAAACAGAATAAAACTACAGCTTTCATTTATGTTAATGAAGGGAGCAGCCATCTTGACTTCTGCCCGATACAGTGCCAGTGAAAAAACAGACAACCTAGTTTGTGTGTTCACACGAACAGGACATGTTAAAAGTTCCTCGCTTTGAGTTCTTTCAGTTCCTTAAGTAATAAATGGAAAGCAAAGTTATATTTGTCTTTCATTTTTGCTGTAGAAAAATTATCAGATCCGTGACTCAGTCGAACCGTGAGTTTCGTGATCCGTTGCGCCCCTAAACCAAACCTAACAAGCTACCTAAGGGAACAAATTGCATACATTACACCGTACGACACTGTGTAGCGAGGAAACTTTATGTCTTTGCCATTTCGACATAGGTAGGGTTTAACAACTTTTTTTGTTCGTTAAGATGCCGTTTTAGGGATTTGTGATGTTTTTCCATCAAGCAATAAACATTTATGCCATCGAACTTTTTCTTTTTCGCAGTTACGTTCGTGGATTTTCAGCCTAGAGAAACTGTGCAGAGTACATTAATGCTTTGACTGCAAAGCAAGCTTCCGTCCTATTTTAACAATAAATCTCGAGTTTGAAGGCGGGCAGCTTTTCGCTGGCCCTGTGGTGGAGATACGTCCATTTAGAGAGGCGCACCGCCATACGTCACCCCCCAGTTCTGGGCCAGCAGTTTCAGGACGGAAGTTTATAGGCGGGAACAACCCAGAGTCAAAGATGGCGGAATACACGGTGAGGATGTTTTATTATGATGCTGTGAAGTTTTTTGAATTTACAACGGTAATATAAAATTGTGCACGTTGCAAAACTTTGACAGATTACGGCTACGTCATTTTAGACGTAAAAATACATGAAGATTTCAGTGTCAGTACCGTTGTGTTTGGTTGGTCAGCGAGCTGTTTGTTAACGTTTGTAGTGCCATCTTGCCAGCTAAGAGTGGCTCGTATAAAAAGGTGATCGACGTATAACGCTTTATTACTAGCAAATTTAAGTCAAAATAAGGTCTGTTTTCTGTCGACCTAAAATGCCCATTAAAACTTACTGTTAAGTGTGGCGAGTTGTTGCACTATATATAGAGATTAACTTACTAAAGAGATCTTGCTATTTTGTCTCTTTTTTTTCTTAGAAACACCCAACGATTCAGAGAGGACAGTCTCTACCGCAGTTGAGTCAGTGCTCAAAATGTTGCAGCTGGTTTCACTGCCCATTTTGCACTGCCAGTGTGTTTAAACCCACCAGATTGGGCAAGTTGAAAATGCATTTGAAAAGTCATTTTAACAAGGCTGTTCTTCATGAAGGTGAGTTAATTTGAGAGTTGTTTCTCAATGTATATGCGTAGCTGTGGAACGTGTACTTTCCACACAGTATTTTACAATATAACATTATGCTGTGTTGCCTGTTTTTAGGTTTCACCATCCACAGATGTGGTTTAGATTGCCGGCCAACACTCCATTATCACTGCCTCTACTGTCAGTTTACAGTATTAAGGAGAAGTGACTTTGCAAACCACTTGCTACTTTGCAAAGTCAAACAGCACATAGTGCCAGGCAGTGAAGCCACACCTTTAACCCCGAAAACGCCCGCCAGTGCCACATTCACTGTGCCACCAATCACCAGTGTTTCTACAGCAAGGTTTTGTGGGCCTGCAGTTATTAGAAAGAGGTGCCCTGTTTGCAAAGTGCTAATGAACAAACGCAGCTTGAAAAAACATATTGACCGAAAACACACGGATCAAAGATTGCAAGACATGAATGTGAACGAGAATCAAACGAAGATGGAGCACAGTGATATCATGGATATGGAAACTGAGGAGAAAAATGTAAGTTCATTTATCTCGATAGGTATGGTGCAGTATAGTGAAGAATTCCATGTCAGTGTAAAATTTTAAACTTGTTTCGCCTATGTGACATGTTGGTTTTTCATGCATCATCAGTTTTCTTTATAGCTTTTTCAAGTATTTCCTTATCTGAAAATCTGACTTGATTTTATCAGATTATTTGCTTACTTATCTTCCTTTAGCTGCATATAACCATTCAGAGGGGCCTTTCACTACCTTCCAGTAAAAAGTGCAGCTGCTGTCCATCTGCAAAGTTTCACTGTCCATTTTGTGGGCCAGAATATTTTAAACCCACAAAACTGAGCAAGTTGAGGGTCCATTTGAATGGCCATTTTAAACGAGCAGTCTTCTGTGGAGGTATTGTTGTGCATATTATATTTGTTTATCATATGTGTATATACACACAATTCTAATTCAGTTTATATATAATATGTATATATGTGAAATATAAATATATATAAAACAGTTTGTATATGTTAAATGTCCATTAAATTCACCTTTTGATATTTCAGATTATACCATTCATAGATGTGGACTTGGTTGCAGGAAGCAACAACATTTTCACTGTTTGTACTGTACATCTACAGTACTAAAGAAAAGAGATCTCATAAGCCACCTGTAAAAGGGTCAGTTCACTCTTAATAATTAGGAGGAGGAGCCCTTTCTGTGCCGTAATTCTGAATCTTTTGGTGTCCAATAGTTCTTTCTAGGTGTCACTATTCCCATTCACATGCAGTGAAAAGGATGGGGGAACAGTCTTGTTTTTTTGCGAGTCAGCTGACTGCCAAGTAAATATGGAGCACACAAGGGGAAGTGGTCTGGCTTCTTACCTGTGTGTCCACCTCAGATCTTTGCTTTATTGTAATTCCATCGCATAGCGTGAGCTATTTAGACAATGTGCTGAAAGATATTGTTAGTATCAAGTGGTTTGATGAAGAAAACATGAGGAATTGTATTCAATGTCAAGCCATTGCCCGTTAATATTAACTGCAATCTTCTGGCCCTAACGCTCGCAAATGGTGAAGGGTGTGTGGTAAAAATAACAAATGCTGCCAGTGGATTTGAAAAGTGGTACGTTGAGAAAGTCAAGAAATACTAGCATTTATATGATTCCTCACTACAGGATTATAAAGAGACAAACGTCACACAATCACAGGTAATTTTCACTCAAGATGAAAATATAGCTGAAGTTGCTACACAGCTGGCTGGCATTATTCATAGACTTTGAAAGTCACATTCTGCATTATTCACGATGGGCACAGGGGCAGCAGACTGTTCTGCAGTATAATTTCATGTTTGTGATCAACAGGAGAACTAATGGTATTTCATGCAAGACAAGTGAGGCTTTTTTTTCTTCAAATTGTAGCCAGATTTTCCTGACCTTTGTCGTTATGTCTCTCAAAGTAGAATGTGATACTGATGTATTCAGGTTCAGCACATGAGGGGAGGGGATGGGCAGGGGGGGGGGGGGTGCTGGTATGAATTGGTAGCAGATAAAAATGTGAATGTTGTTGGTGAAGGGACAGAGGTCATGGTGAAGGGACAGAGGTCATGGTGAAGGGACAGAGGTCATGGTGAAGGGACAGAGGTCATGGTGAGGACTGACTCAGGTGATGAGGGCCCTGTATTCTCATGTACGTATTTCTGTTTTGAAGGAATCTCCGGAACACTGGGGCAGCCAGTTGGACTCGGGTTCGGGACCCAGTTCCATCAATAGTCTTGGCAGTGTACTGGAAGAGCCCGCAGTGTCCTCCGCCGCCATGGCTGCACCCTCCCCAGGCCTGTCCGACGGAGAGCACTCGTCCGCCTTCAGCCCTCCACCACTCAGCCCAATCGTCAAGTCCTTCACTGGTATTATACCCCAGTGCGTCGGCTCCCCTCTGGACGACCCGGGAAAGACGATGCAGTGGAGAGGCCGAGCGGACGCGGCCGAAGGCCCAATAATGAAAAGACTCAAAGACCTTAGTGATGAAGCCGTGCCCGACGGCGCGCATGCAGACGAGGATCGCCGCTTCTTCTCTGCCATGGCCGACTTGGTGAAAAGGTTACCACTGCGTAGGAGAGATGTTGCTAAATTCAAAACCTATCAGATGTTGTTCGACATGGTGCAGCAGTATGAGGATGAGCAAGAAAGCTAATGATATTTTCTATCTCGCTAATTTTAATACTGTTTACTTATGTTGAATAAAAAAGACAGTTCAACTGTCTACCTGTATTTACTGACGATAGACAAAATAGGCAGGTTTGGGCAGAATACTATGAATAAATGCTATTGCCCTACACAGCCCTGAATATATTGCCTACAAAGAACTGTTATAGTTGAATCTTTAAAATATGTACCTCGTTCAAAATACTTTTAGCAACTTGGCAGTGGAATGTTTGTTTTGATGTCATTATAGATAAGGCTCTAGTGTTACTATACTGAATATTTCAGTTTGAACACAAGTGCAGACAGGATTTTTATGAAAAGTAAATTCCCGCCTGTGTTTAACCATGTTTAAGTTAGACAAAGCAGACAAAGCAAAAGCTTTGCTGTTAATTGAGTATAAGGGCACTCAACAGAGGTCGACTGATATGGGTTTTTCCAATAGCCGATGCCGATATTTAGGAGTCAGGGTCAGCCGATGGCCGATATATGCTGCCAATTTTTTTTGCCTGATAATTAGACATTTTCCCCTCTATTTGCATGGTAAAATATCAAACCAATAACAAATGATACACAAAAATTCTCAACTTAGCATTTATTGAATACTGACCTGTGTAAATTTAAATATAAACTAACAAAAACACAATACAACTTGTAAACAATAACAAACCTATAAAGAATAAAAATAGCACCAGAATATATAATGTATACATTATACACACACACACATATTATATATATGTAGCAAACTCCTAATTTGTAAGGGAAAGAAAATTTGTAAACGTTATCTTCAGTCTTAATCCCACTTCCAGTCTTCTAAATTACTAAAACAGAAGAAAAAATGCAAGGTTAGCATTTTTATTATAGTGCATTCATTCTACAATTCCAGTATTCCATGCACATTAAAATAATTACACTCATACATTTTGAAAGAAAAAAAACACTATTAACCAAGTGCATTAAGGTATGATGAGTGTACGAGGCCCAAAACCTTTCACTACCATGTTGTTAGCAGACACATAGCTTACAAGCCAAATTCACAATCAGAATCTAGTGATAAATAACTTTGTGGTATTACACAGCCTTGTATGCAAGGACAACGTAAGCCCCTAGTGATTGTGACGTTGTCGACGGATAAGCCCGTATAAAGGATAGACATGTTTAATGAAGAAACTAACTGCGCAAAGTGAAGTCGTGCATTTTTTATCTAGACGTCTGACAAATTGTTTGAATCTCCGCTCTCAAATGCAAACAAGTTGCACAGAAGGACCATTGTCAGCATTAGCTCAAGTGAATGGTAACCACGCTTTCGAACAGTTTTCTCCGTCATGCATTGTTCTTAGCAGCTCTGTGTCTCCTACGACGGTGCTGTCTGTGATCGGGGCAGAATAACGCAACTCTTACACACGCTGCAGTGTTTGGGAGAGCTGCCTGCTCCGCCCCATACATAGAGTGAGACTCTCCACAAAAAAAAAACACAACTGATGGCATCGGGCTAATGTGGTAATAATTAAAATTTTTAACAATTAAAATGGTTTTAACGATTAAAAAAAACGTATGTGAGCCCACCAACAAGCGTTGAAAACTAGCTCCGTCAGAATCAATGATCCTTAACGTTACCTGTAAGGCTACAGTTGGTTGAAGGCTCATTAATCATCACGCCAGTTCACGACAGCGTAATTCGCGTTTTCTTTTAAAACAACACTTCACAGCAAACCAGTTAAATAAATACGTCTTCGAAAGATCAGAATTTAACCCTTATCGTTTTCTCCCAGGAATCTCCCAGAACTTCTGCCTGGGGTCCTGCACAAGGCAGCATGGGTCACGTGTTCCACAGCAACAATAACGCTGGGCTGCCCGCAGACGTGCCTGTCTGTAAGTCGGTGTACTACACTCGGATATACATTAAAAATGCCAAATATCGGCCCGATATACCGGTCGATCTCTACTCGGCATTACTCACAAGACTGACTGGGGACAATCACAGTTTTTCCACAAAATGTATTTAAATTTAGCAAGCATACACTAATAGTATACACTAATACACTTGATCTCTTGAAATTACACAGTACAAGGCAAGTGGGAAACTGAAAAAAATCTTTAGATTGTGTCTGATGGTGTGGGCAGGACTTTGAGCATCATTCTGGGTCCAAGAAGTTGTAATCTGCCGCCTGTTGCCACCACTGCTGAACTTTCCCTGAGATGACATCTGCAAAGTTTGGTAAAATATACCTTGCTGCTTCGGTTTATACCAGGAAATTGTTTAGAGAAATGCAGGTATTCAAACTGCTGACCTCCCTGTCTAGAAAATATTCAATGGAGTGTCCCAGCACATACCGCTATTCCTTGTTTCCTGAGTGAGAGGGAGCGCCTCCCTGCTTCCCGCTAAGGGCCGGTTTTCCCCACAGCGCCACCCCAATGTCTGGCGTCAAAGTACGCGGTTGCCTGTTACATTGGCGCAAGACGTGGACGCGGGCGGCCTATCTGAAAAGTTGCTTTGGACAAAAGAATCTGGCAAATAAATAAATGTGAAATTTATACAAGGTGAACATAAGACCTAATTTTTCCGGGCTTGGGACCTAAAATGTCTGAAATGTCCATGATTACGCTTTGTTTCATGTTGACATTCGCTTTCTACAACCAGAATTCTTTCTGTGTGCATATTTGCGCTGCTTTGGCTTCTCTCTTTGCGTCCTACCCCTGGTGTCCTCTTTTTTTCAAAGCAAAATACGGTCACCCCATGTTATAACACTATGCATTCATTTATTTCCATACCCGCTTGTCCTGTGCCGGGTCGTGGGGGTTCGGATCTTATCCTGAAACAGCAGGTGCAGGGCAGGGATTATAAGCCAGGACGCAGCGCAAACCATCGCAGTAAAAGTATTCATTCTTTACTACTTCCTTTGCATTTATCTGAGCTGCAGTCATTTAAAAAGCTGAGCATCGTAAATGTTAAATTGAATCTTTAAAAAATAGGCCTATGTATTTTAAAAATGCACGATACTAGCATTCATTTATGTTTGTAGATCGAAAGCGTGGCACTTCTTACGAAAGTGATAAGCGCAGGTTACATTTTTCCTCGGGCATTATTCCAGAAGAATTCGTAGACCTGCTTGCTGACTTGCGTTTTTAGCAACTGCGCCACGGCTGCATGACCTACCGCCAGGTGACAGCCATAGAAGCCACGGAATGCTGGTCTGGGTGCTGATCCATCCTGGCGACGCCTCTGAAGGACTTTCTTATATGGAGGACGAAACGTGACTTAAAAATGAATAAATAAATCTGTAGAATGAATGTAGACGTATTGATTTAGTTCCACATTTACGGATTTCCAGATTTGCGGATAATATATACGGCAACATACTAGATCAGTTTTAATACATAATATTAGTCCCAATTCTGATTCTATATACATCATGTAGTATACACAGCATTATATAAACTGAATGATTTTACTACAAGTAAAATTCTTTATGAACGTAGATTCTTTTAATAATCGTTAGTAAACGTATAAGTGAAAAGAGTTGTATACATTTAGGCTATTCAGCATGGGTAGCATTTTTATTGCACTGCCAGATCGAGCAACACAGTGGTGTAGAATAAAATATTACAGTAAGTATTGTTTTAAATCATTAACATCAAAGAGCAGTTCAATAATAAAACAGGACTAAGAGCAATTGTAAAAGAAACGTCTGCATCATTAAATGGGCGGCTTCTGTCGTGTCGATAATTCCATATATGTTTACATTATGTTTAAATCTACTTATTAAAGTACCCCAATGCTTGACGGCTATTTCAAAGAACATACGTTTGTTTCGGGAGGGAGCTGAAACTGAAGGTTGTTATCACCTAATTTTATATGTTTGGGTAGAAAATAAGATTCATTCTCCAATCACGGTTCGTACAGCCGTCCGCAGGATGATTGACAACCTGCTCGACGAATCACAGTCACTTAGCTCTGCTGCTACTGGAAATTGGCAGATATTTATTTTATGGATGTTACAGTGACAGCATAAATGAACCAATCGCGTTTAGATACGGCGCACATGGTTAGTGAGTGCTGTGTCGGTTAACCACTGGTTTTCAACCCATTTGGCTAATTTACCAATGCAGTGGGGGTTAGGGTGTTTTTTTTCGTGATTTCGTACACGCCCCCTGAGAATCTGCCCGATTTCAATGAGAAGACGGTAGAAATGGATAGCAAGCAGCCTGGAGGTCAGTTCAGTTCTAGCGACAAGTGAAACGTATTAAACATTTCGGCATGCCGACTGGCCTTCCTATTTCATTTTATTGCCCCAGCGGTTTAAACAAGCTGGCAGGGACTCCCCAGAAGCGCAGAGGAAGCCCCAGCTCTCATAGGCAGCTGCTCCTGCGTGCACTTTCAGAGGCTAGCTAACTGGTAATGGTGAAGTTAGCCACTTTAGTTGTGTGCATAGGCGCCAGCTCGGTGGTGGTATGATTACTCAGACATCTAAGTGACTCAGTTGCCATTTAGTCACTGGTCTCCGGTGGTGTGGATGTGGGTGGATAGACACCATACTACATTTATTTAACTAGAGAAAAGGTAGTGTCGCAGTGCTGCCAGCCTCCGTAGACTAGTGTATGTTCCGGGTAAAAAGTAATACTTTGTTGTCGCGAGGCGTGCATATCGTAAGCAGTGATTTTAAGATTATGATCGTCGTTTAGTGTGAGACAGCCAGGCAGGCTGTTAAATCCGCGTAGTTTTAGCTGCTTTTGTTGTTGTCAAGCTGTGTTCTAACGCTAGTAAGTGTGGTTTTGTCCTGGACAGACTCGGTTGGAATGACAGTTACCATTCGGATGCGTGATCAGTTTTAAAACATGGTGTATTATATATACCGCTATGCTGCATTAGATAGTGAATGGATGACTTATGCATTGTCTGTGAAACTCTTGATAAGTTGCCAGATGCGTTACGCATCTCACACCTACGGTTTAACATGAGCTCTTTCGTGAATAACGAACCAAGAGTGTAACGCGAGAAGACTTAACCTTTATGTTAATTTGGGCGAAGCTTTTATAAGCTGCAGTTCCTGTCCCCGTCCAGACTAACGTGTTTAACGTTTGTGTGCCCCGGTTTAGGTGCGGGGTCCTGGAGCTCCGCAGCCCCTTCGAGCAGCAGCGGATCCGGTGCCTCCGGTCAGTTCCCCGGCTGATCCGCACCGCATAGCATTTACAGATACGGTCATCTTCAATAATAGCCATACTTTCTGCTTTCTTTCGTTTGTTGACTTTCATACCGTTTCCTTAGTAAATTCTTTTAGCTAAATCCTCATATGTAATCCTGCTGTGCAATCTGGTTTCTTTCTCCGCAGAGTCTTATCCGAACGCTAGTGCATGGCAAGGCAAGTGTCATATTAACGTCCCTTAAGAGTTTTGCCGAGTGTTTTGTAAGGGTCCTGAACGATCCGTCCATCCCAGCAGGTTATGAGGGTTACGGCTTCTACAGCGCCCAGAGCAGCAGTGGTAGTGACCCCTCTGCAGACCAGTATGTGTATGGGAGCTCCTGGGAGCCCCCCAGGGGCGGCACTGAATCCGGAGTGGCCATGAGCGGGAAAGAGGGCAGGGGAAAGGGACAGCAGCAGGGCGGAGGGGGGAGGAGCAGCAGCGCTGGTGGCTCGCAGGCAGACAACCCAGACTCCATCATTGCTAAGATCAATCAGCGCTTGGACCTGTTGGCCAAGGAGTCGGGAGGCAAGGAAAGTCAGGAGAGGTGAGAATCCCCTGATGCATGAATTGTTGCAGCATCGATGCATGACAGTATCAGTCCTGTGTGCTGCGACCGCAAAACAGAGTAATGCATCAGTTTTTTTTAATTGCAGCAGTTGCTGTGTCAAAAGGGAAAAAAAATTACCATAATTTTACAATTAAGTCCTACGTTTTCTTAATGCATGCCGCTAATGACTTCAGCAATTGTCATTCTATTCATACATTTTAATTTAGCCTTTTCTACTTCACGCTGCATTATTACTATTTAGCCAATTTTAATTGCTCTATTAGCTCAGAAGTTTTAATAACACTGTTGATCTTAAATAACACATTGATCATTTGTTTTAAATGAAAGCTGCGTGATCCTTCTCTCCCGTCGTGTGTGAGCTGAGCCCTTATTTCTGCTGTAATTTTTGCCAGCCCGCCGCTCCATCTTATTCTGCTCCTCTTCCCTCTCTTCTCTCCCCCCCCCCCCCCAGCCCCGATGTGCCCGTAGCAGGCAGCAGCGAGCGACGTGCGGAGACAGCGGCCGAAAGCGAAGACCCCCCCCCTGCTTTTTCTCACGCAGCACTTTCAGGTTTGAGTGCTTCCAGTCCTACATGCTCCCAGCCGACAAGGAACAGTCTGTCTCCTCCTCGCTGTACCGAGAGGCGACTGCAGGGGGCAGCAGCGAGGCCACCGGGGGGGCTGCTGGGATGCCGTCGCCTGAGAGCGGCTCCCCTTATTCCCGTGGCCGCGGCGGAGCGGGCCGGCGGGAATCAAGTGGGGCGGGGGAAGCGCGATCCAGGGGCAGAGGTGGCAGGGACTTCAGTGCGGGTGCCAGAGCTGGCCAGCACCAGCAGAACCGGGCCCAGAACCGTCGTGGGGGCGGGTACTGGAGAGGCAGAGATGCCCCGCCCCCTCATCAGCACCTGCACCACCATTCCCAGTTCTCCCAGCACTCGTTTAGCTGCTATCCCTCCTCCACGCCTCCTTCGTCTTCCTCCTCCTCCGAGCGACTGTCTGCCTGCTGGAGTGACCAGAATTACATGGGTTCTTGTGGAGCAGGCCGGGGTCTCCGGGGGCGGGTACCGTCACTGTTCCCGCCCCCTTACTCAGAATTCTATGATGTGCCGCCGCCCCCCTTCCCCCCACATCATCTGCATGGCTCCACTATGATGGGCGGTTTCTGTCAGCCCTATGGTGGACCACAAGGGGGCAGCGGTGCATGGAACTGGAACGGGAAGACCTGGCCCCGAGGAGATCGAGACGGAAGGGTGAGCAGCGGGCGACGGCACCGGCACCCCCAATGTATCATCGTCGTGTGTTTGGTGTTTCCTCACATCTTCATCGTTCTATTTCCGCAGAGGCAGCGAGGAGCCGGACCTCCGACGAGGAGCGCAGAGGGGAAGAAGAGGCGTTTCTCCCAGACCTTCGACGACCTCGAGGCCCACCACGCGGGGACGGGATCGGAGGAAGACGATTACGACCAGAACCCATTCGCTCAAAGTACTATGCCCACGCAGATTGCGCACGGTTAGCTTATATAAAAAGAAGTAATGCCAAATTAAAAGGTGTTGATTTAGTGTCTGGGGGCTGCTTTGCGTTTTTTCATTTTTTTTTAGCCCAAGCTACATTTTAAATTTGTGCTTCAACGCTGGTGGCTTGTGAATTTTTCAGCAGGCAGCGTAATCTGGGTGTTGAGTTACTGTGTCCTGGGAATCGCAGCCAGCTGGATCAGGGGGGGGTTGGATTTATTTAGGGTGTGATTCGACGGAGAGAGTCCAGGCAGCGGTGGCCTGGGCGGGAGGGAAAAGCAGGATGCGTGTGTTTGAATAACGTTCTTACACATCTGTGATGGAGGACTGGCAGTGTCTTCATGCTAAACACATGGCGATTGAGTCTGACTCACTCTTTGTCTTCTCACAGACGAAGACGACGACAGTGAGGTAAGTGTTGAATCTTTTGTGTGATTTGGATCTGTAGAAGTTTTTATATTTCGCTGGTCAACCATTAGTCAGGCTGTTTGCTTCGGTGGTTCCTAATGAGACTGGATTCCTCACCGGATTCTATACCATTGTTGCATAGTGCATAAACCAGTTTACACCTGTGGGAATTAAAAATCAGTTTTTATATGAGTGTTAGAAATGGCTTCCTGTTTACAGGTGCTTGAGGAGGAAGCTGGAAAGGAGGCAGAGAAAACTAGGACAGGTGCACATCACGCCACCCCTACGTCTTCTGTACAAAGTTAATGCGTGAAATGTTGTGTAAAAATAGTTCTTAGTTCGTAATTTCTGTGTTGACAGGAGATGAGGAAGAGAATAACGAAGAGGCAAAGAGGAAGAGGGGACGCAAGAAAGAACGACAGCAGAAGGATCACAGGTACGATGTGAGCCAACACAAATACCGTGTTTCCATGTTGGGTTGGAGATTGAAGATCCATGATCTGCCAACTGCTTTCTTTCCACACACAGGCTTCGCTTTACCTGCTCGATGTGCAAGTTCAGAACAGTGGAGGAGAAGGACATTCAGAGCCATCTAGAAGGTCGCTTCCACAAGGATATCTTCACCTTCCTGGCCAGCAAGATCCCAGAAGCCCATGTCAAGTTCCTCCAGGTGGGGGCGCCAGTGGCAAACGTTGGGCGAGAAGTGGCACACGGCACCGTGCTCTGTGATCTCACCCTGGATGCGTTTCTCCTCTCGTCCCCCATCTCTCCAGGAATACACGGTGAACCGCAACAAAAAGATATTAAAGAAGAGACAAGACCTGCTGAATCAGAGTGAGACTCATGAAAAGTCTGACCCGTTTATAGGTAAAACCGACTGCAACTGCAGCTTCCTGTCTGAATAATAATAATAATAATAATAATATTGATGATAACACGCTATGACCTTGTACTGAATAAGCAGAGGGATGAAAATAACGAGAATGATAATTACTTGGTTGTGAAGGAGCTGAATGAATGCAGCAGGCAGCAGATGCGTGTCGCATTGAATGCACATTTGATGGTGCCGCAGGTGCGGGCCAGGACGAGTTCCTGAAGCGCATCGAGGCGGCGCACTGCATGGCCTGTGACATGGTCATTCCGGCGCAGCACAGTCTGCTGCAGCAGCACGTCAACTCCCCGGAGCACCTGTGCAACCGTAAGGTGGGTCCTACACTGGGGTCGCGATGAGATTTTAGCTTTCGCTTGATTGGTGTGCAGAAGGGGGCTGGATGTGTTTGATTGGGTGAGGTCAGAGGTCAAGTGCCTCTAGTCACGAGTAATTGGTTAAGGGTTGTGATAAGGCAAATTCTCTGTATGTTTGTGTGCGCAAGTCAGGGAGGGATGGAGGTCAGGCAAGAGCATCAGCTCTGCTCTCGTTGGTTTTTCTTCATTAAGTTGTGTATTTGTGTTATTCTTTTAATGACTCTTCCGTCAACAAGGGTGCCGATGAATGCTAATTATTTTTTCCATCCCGTCCTCCAATCCCAGATCTGATTTGCCATCCAGCTGTCACAGTTATCTACCCATCCCTGCATTCACCCATCTTCTATCCTCTTAAGCGTTGCATGGTTGTGGGGTGGGCGGGACCAAAGGCAGGGCACCGATTAGTACTGGGATGCCAGGTTATCCAGTCACTTCGTGTTTTCGTCATTAACCTGCCGTCTGCCACAGGGCATCACTGAGCACTTTAAGAGGTCCAGCCTTCCCATCGCTAAGAGCATCCTCAACAGCAGCAACATCAGCAGGATGCTGGAGAAGTATTTAAAGGTACGGCTCTCCAAAGGCGATCGGCAGCATCACACTTCCTGGGGAGCCCGTGTGTGTGTCTGCTGATTTGTTCATTATTGGGCTCCTGCCGCTTTAAAGGTGGCGTATCGCTCTTTCCGCGTCGCTTTGGACAAAAGCGTCTGTGAAATAAGATAATAAAAAATGTAACATAAATGTTTCTCTTGATAGATGCTGTCCTGTGAATTGCTGGTTTTGTCTCTGCGAGTTAGTTGTCTGTTACAGTGTTTTTGGTTCTGAAGTAGGGTGGTTAGAAAATATTTTACACTCCGTTTGGCATTTAATGTTCTAAATCCATTTTTAAGCAATAACACGATTGGTTCTAATAGTTTGGCTTTGAACTTTGCAGGTGTCTGTCTGACAAATCAGTTACATTGTTGTTATTCTTGCAAAAGCTGTTCAAAGAGGGGATTTTAGTTTCTTTGTCATTTTTAGTATTTAAATATGCCTGTTATTTTTCTGTCTGCTTTCTCTCCATCACTAAACATGTGGCCCCCTTCCATCAGGGAGAAGACCCCTTCACAGATGAAACAGGCGATCATGACCCAGAAGATGACTGCCACCTAGTGAAGGCCAATCCTGGAGAACAAGGGGCTTCCGGGCCCAGAACTGGGGCTCTGCTTCACCCGGGGGCACCAACTGGCCCAGAAGGTGCCAAGAATGATGGGAATGAAGATGAGGGGTCAGAAGAGAAGGGGGTTCTCGAGGAACCACAAGAGTTTTTAGAAGAGTACTTGGATGAAGAGGAGGAGGATGAGGGGGATGCAGTGGAGTAAAGACTAAGAAGACTAACAGTTTTGTCGCATTATGTTTTTGCAGTGTTATAAGCTGCCCAGAAACTAGATTGATTTCTGCATTTTGTTTGAGACACTGGGATTACCACCGTGTCAGAGATGATGTCATAAGGAACTGTGAGTTTAGATGATGTCATAAGCAGCTGTGAGTTGTTGTAAATCTCATAAATGAAGGTGATCATATTTGCATAAAAAGAATCACCCCTGGAAGCACTAGTGGCAGTACTGTTACCCCCCCCCCTTACTTTTCTGTATGCAGTAAGATTCCTTAACATAATTTCTCAGTCATGAGCAGTTTTGCAAACACATGAAAGGTTTTCTGTGTGGAGAAATTTTTGGACGGAGGCTGTCTTTCCAGTTTCACTGATACCAAAAATGTTTATTAGGGCAAGAAGTGAAATCTGTTTGCAAATATGTGATACTGTGAGCTGCTCAGTTTTTTAAAGGAGATAAAGCTTTAAATCCCTTTGCCAGATCCGTGGCGTCCACTATGAACTTTACCCCATTCTTCAGTAAATTTGCACTAGTAACAATTGACCTGGTCTGCTGTACTTATTATACTTGATGAGAAAACGTCAGTCCGTCTGCCGGCAGCCTACCCCCACGGAGGAGAACTTGAATGGCCCAAATGCTTTGTCTTTATGATGGATTCAGCGGGAAACAAACTAAATCAGGAGCTTTGTGAGCATTTTGAGAAGCCAGCAGGACACACGGACAGGAGTATTTTCTCTGAGATTCTTAATATATGATATTAGCGTAAGATCTTTCCAACTGGGGGCAGAAAAAGGAAGATATGAATAGAATGCATGTGTGCTAAAGAGGTTCAGTGTCTCGAAACCAGCAAGTAATAAAGGTCCTGCCTTTAAGCAGTGACTGGTCCCAGTCTAATCCCTTTAATTTTTTACAAAATACTCTGGCTTTTTTTTTTTAAAAGAGAAATAATAATAATAATTAAAAAAACGTACTCACACATACAATAAACGTGGGTGGTTTAGAATGTTTCGTGTGGTTTGTTTTGTTACATCATAAAGAAGGTGAGCACCCTTACATAACTAACACTGAAGACAGAAACAATGGTTTCCTGGCAACAATGCAGCGAATGGAGAAATGTAATAATGCTACTTGGTTTGATTTTTATAATAGAACAAGTTATGAGACTTTTAGTCTCAGTATTGAGTTCTTGATCCTGTGGAGTCTGTGGATTTGCTTGCAGTCCGGAGTGTAACACTGACCCCGTACACTAACTCCTCCCCCCCCGGTGATGACGATCAATTTCCCCTCCATGTTCCAGATACACACCAATGACACTTAACCAAATTACACTTTTATTCCGTCATGCCATCTTTCCTCAGTCAGGCGCTCTGCTCCTCGGCCTTAGACTTCCTGCAAAAGATAAAAATAAATAAGGAGTGTTTTGCACGAGGCAGGAGAAACTCCGTTTGGGTCCTGAAGGGCAACCAGGTCGTCTGTCTCTTTGTAATCAGGTACGTCCATTATGGTCGTACTTGATAAATTTTGAGCTCGATCAGCAGCTGGTTAACCCCAATAAGAGCCTAAATGAATGGATGATTTTTACTGACTGTTGTATCACACCGGTTGCGTGTTACCCTGAAATGCGGCCAGGTCTGTATCTCCCTGTAGAGGGTGTCCCCAGGGCAGGAGGTGTTGACCAGCTGACGGTGGCCGTGCACGATGTAACCAGGCGACAGGTGGCCGCTTCCCACTGCACATGCGGGCAGCCGCTCTCTCACCAGCTCCAGGGTGCGCGGCGATGGCAGGCAGCTGGTGAAGTCTCCGATTATGGCAACGCCGTAGCCCTTCGAGTTGTGGCCCAGGGTGTGGGCACCCTGCCAGGCCCAGCCACGGCCCTCGTAGATGTTGCCATCAGATCCGGCCACAAAGCTGAGGTACAGAGAGCAGCATGTGGAAACCAAAGACGCTGGAGACGATTTTACATTTAAGACAGCCGACTGGCCACAGATTAATGGCTGAAAGTTTGTGTCCTGACTCACAGTGTGAGCGGTTCACACTTAAACTCCATATTTGTGCTGCTTTTATATCTGTATAGAGGATACACACGTGATGTCACAGGAAGTGAAAGTCACCGTGGTTACGCCCAATAAGTGGCAGCGTTGCTTTCAGCTTGGATACTGCCATCTAAAATGGGAAAGCGCTGTTGTATGTCTGATTGTACAAATTGGCTTAACAAGAAATCAGACCTATTTTTGTACTGAAAACAAAAGAGAGGCGAATGAATCACTGCAATGCGAGTCCAATATCCGAAATGTGGATTTATGGTTAACATTTTGCATCAGTTATGCTGCATTTTTTGGGCAAGCTCATATCTTAAATGATATACTGTATTAGCTACTCATCAATTAAATATTCAGCATCATTACTTTATATTCTGTGTCACTGTAATTTTTCATCAGCATTTATCAGCAAACAATGACGATCAGGCTTGTGCTCTATAGACAATGGGGGCTGTTAGACAGTGTGGCCGAGACAGTTTTCCTCATAAGTGACTGCTTCCCAAAGCTACTGCAGACAGTTAGCCAAATAACTTCTAAAAATAAAGTTTTTACAAAATATGTTATCAGGAAATGTGATTGCTGGCCACATATCAACGTCCAAGGTCTCCTGGTTCTTTGGTAAGTTGCACAGATTCCTGTCGAGTCCAACTGCCTTTCATTTAAATGTAAAATCAGCCACAGTGCAGCATGTTTTTACACTCAGTCTGTCTGAAGGGGCGTGTTCCGGGGAAAATGACGTCAGTGCAGAACCTCTATACAAACTTAGGGTCGGGGCAAACGTCACATGCACTGGGGCTTTGAATTGCTGGGACTGAGCGGCCTGTGACGGACTGGCCTCCTGTCTCGCAGCACACGCGACGCTACCTGTATCCGATGTCGTCCCAGCCGTTGCCGTCCTGGTGGAAGCGCTGCATGGACCGCATGTCCGCGGCGCACTGGTCAAAGGAAAGGCAGGGCTGGCCCGGTTCGTAGGTGTGGTGGACGTACATGTAGGAGAGGGGCGGACTTAGTTGGGTAGGCGTGCCTCGGTAAGGCTCCGCCCCCCACTGGCACCGGGGGATGATGGTTGGACAGTCTAGCGGAGAAAGGTGGGGTTACCTTTCTGATATGATATTAAGTCACAACTTCTCTGTCATTCATTTTTGCCATAAAGTAATGAATAACAAGGATTCCCTCCTTTGTTGTTGTCATTTTGTTTTTAACCACTACTCTACCCACTGTACCCCCCTTTGCCACACATATACTCACTTGCATACGATTGGATGAACTCCTGCACGCCCTCCTTCACAATTCTCTTGGACCCCACGGCACGGACATCTCCCATCAGCCTCCAGTGCACCTGCATCGAGCTCATCACCTCTTTTCGCAGTGATGCGGCGCTCACCAACTCCCTGAAGTTGTCCCTGCGGAGGACGCTGATGAGACGGGGGGCGCTGTCGAGGCCCCCGGGGCCCAGAGAGTAGCTGTAGTACTGCTTCAGAAGGCCGCTCAGTGTGGGGGGGCGCTGTGTGAGTAGGGAGATCTCCGTGCCGAGGATTATTCCATCCATCCCTCCGTTTATGAGAGCCTCAGTAGCCAGGGAGGGTTTCCCTGGCAGTGTGAACATCGCAGGCCAGGTCACGCTATCCCAGCAACCACTGGGGCCGAGACGCTGAGGGAGCAGGGAGTTATGGAAGGCCAGGAAGGACAAACCCAGGGTTCTGGTCAGGGCAACAGCATGTAGTGCATCCACCTTAGTTTGAAGCCCCGCCTCTATGCCCAAGAGCAGTGGCGCCATGGCAACCGTTGTCCCATCACGGATGAGGACCACTCCCACCTCCTCACCTCCTTCGCTCACCCTGTGCCGAAGCGCTTTGCCAATGAAGTCATCGAATTCAACATTCAGCACCAGAGCCGCCCTGCTGTAATCGTCATTCGCACTGCCCAAGAAGCTCTCCGCGAACAAATCCCCGTAGCCTGCGAGATGGCGAAGGGCTCTCACTGTTCCCAGGGGGCCCAAACCCGGGTTCTGGGCCTCGACGTGCTCCAGCACCCTGATAAATTCATCCATGTGCCTTGGAATGGCAGCTGGGATGGGAGAAAGATTTGTGCGTGAGACAGACGTTTCAGAGCAGATACGTGATTCACATTTAAGATAGAGTACACAATGACAGTGCTAGAATCTTACTGCAGATATCAAATACATTTACTGCCACAGAGATAGCATGTTGTTTTCCTATAAAATACTGTTTCCAGTGTTTAATCAGCAGCTCTCAGGCCAGTCCTGAGTAACCACACTGTCATTACATTATGTTGTTACGTCTGATCTCCCTTAACATCAGTATAATACAACTGTGTGTTTGATCTGTTGTTGTTAATTTCAATAAAGATACTACTTAGTTACTTCACTAACCAAGGCCAAATAATGTACCTTTTACAATTAAATTTTACAGTTTAATTACCCTCCGAGCCAAAAAGCCATTTTAAAACTTTCTTACCAATGCACCTCTAAAATAAAATTCAAGAAACAATTACATTAGGTTACATCATTTATGACACAAATTTAATTTGAAACAAATAATCTAAATTATTAAGAGTTCAAATGGAACAAAAATTGGCATATACAGTTACCCTCCATGGTCTAGTGCCTTAAAATAAATAATAAAAAAAATATAATTACCATTGACTTTGCTGCCAATAATCAGCACAGCCAGCGTCACAAACCATTTCACAGGAGACATTTTGCAGGATGACAGTTGCTCTCAAACTATGTTCACCAATAATTGCCTCGGGTCTCCCTAAAGATATTTATATACACACTTTTAACACAGGTCAACACAGAGATATAGTGCATGATCCCAGTGTTTGTCGCACCCTGTGTAACAGTTTGTGGGGAAAAACACACCTGTTTAAATTTACCAAGGTCTTTTGTGCTTAATGTCGTACTTCTTGATAGTGATTTCATTTCATGAGCTGTAGCAATAGGAAACCTATGAAATTGTAATGCACTGACTATATACAGTACTGTGCAATAGCAGTCAAAGAAAATGGTGTCTAAATTATATTTATGTTGATATAAAACTATGATATGTCTGTCAAAGCGTGCCAGCTTAGCTTAGCCACTTCAGAACCTCTCCTATAGTCACCCTAGGATTTGCAGTAACCGTCCATCATCCATGTATTTTTTTGACTCGGCCATTATCATACCATGGTTGGCTAATCAATACCTCATCAATGTATGTCCTTTATCATTTTACACACACACACACACACACACACACACACACATATGCACGGAATTTAAGTCAATATGTTACTGATCGTCGTTTTTTGGTATGGTCCTCTCCTTATCGAAAACATACTGATGACAACATACTTGTACACTGGTAGGACACGAGCAAACAACTTTACAGGAAAGGACGAGATCTGACTACTGCACGCGGTGTTCCATCTATACCCTCTACTGCACGCGGTGTTCCAACTATACCCTCTTGCACAAAGACTGCATGCTTATGGTGAAGCAAATGCATGTAAAGAATATATCAAACATACAACAACTATATCCAGCGACGGATTATTTTAATCGGTGTTAAATGTGTAACTACGTCGCGTGCAGAAGACATCACATTAAAACAATCACCTATAATGTACGAGGTATAAAAGGGTGTAACACTGAGTAAAAATGACTACGCATTGCCCTCTAGCGGACATTGTAACACTATGAAAAATACGGACTCTTTGTTTTTGTTATTAAAATGACATTTATTTCAAATATGCCAAAATATCTATATATCCATGGTATTTGATACAGTGAATGGCAGAACCTGTACCGTCCCCCCATGCTCAGAGCTTCTCGTGCACGGCTACCTTTCACCCACAGTTAAACAAGGGGAAAATTACAAGAAAGAGACAGTTTACACAAAAACCACGACACACGCAATTAATCCCGGACGACTGCAAATGCGTGCAAGGTATATTTTGCGCAACCTTCCGATTACTCTCCACATGCGCACTAAGCCCCGTTTTGCGTCCTTAGCCGCCTGACCCGGAATAGGAAGTTAGGGTCTGCAGTTCAAAACATCGAAGCTCATCATAAGCAGGTAGGGCTTCAGTGAAATTAATCAGTTCGATGCCTGCAATGCTTGAAATATTTATTTAGTTTATTATAGATAAATGTACTGCATGAGGTGTCCTGTATAACAAATCCAGCATTTTTTTGTGCGTGATCTTGTACATCATACGGCCCGTCAGAAGCGCGACCGATCAGCCAGCTGCCGGTTTTACCTGGACTTGTCGACTCAAGTGCTGGATCCGTTTGCACTGACAGCTTGATGCTAAGCTGCATAAGCTAAATAAGATATTGCGAGTAGAAGCTCCCGTTGCAGTGTAAGCCGCAGGCTGCAGGATGGACACCCGCTTCACCAGGGGCAAATCGGCGATCCTGGAGCGCTCCCTGACCAGGCCCAAGACGGAGGTCAGCGTCAGCGCCTTTGCGCTGCTCTTCTCCGAGATGGTGCAGTACTGCCAGAGCCGCGTCTACTCCGTGTCCGAGCTGCAGGCGCGCCTCGCCGACCTGGGCCAGGGTGTGGGCGCCAGCCTGCTGGACGTACTGGTTCTGCGAGAGAAGAACGGCAAAAGAGAAACTAAGGTGCTCAACATACTGCTCTTCATAAAGGTATGCAGTGTGTTTGGCGCGCGCCCTGTCCTTAAAGCATAAGTGGGAAGCGTTTTGTAATAAATTTATTATTATTAAAGATTGCTACATTTTATTTACTTAATGCACAGGAGCACCTTTCCAAAATTAGTAAGGAATAAGGATTTAACAAATTGTGTTTTTGTATTTATATAAAGAAGAGCACTGTTGGTATTGCACGAATCAGTGTGCATTGGCAAGATACCAAGTTTATTAAAAGTTGCATAGTTTAATATAAATTATTATGACTGTCAGGTGTCTGTATGGAAGGCCCTGTTCGGAAAGGAGGCTGACAAGCTGGAGCAGGCGAACGACGACGACAAGACGTACTACATCATCGAGAAGGAGCCGTTGATCAACGCCTTTATCTCGGTGCCCAAGGAGAACAGCACGCTGAACTGTGCCGCGTTCACGGCCGGCATCGTGGAGGCTATCCTCACCCACAGCGGCTTCCCGGCTAAGGTTACCGCGCACTGGCACAAGGGAACCACGCTCATGATCAAGTTTGACGAGGCGGTCATCGCGCGGGACAAAGCCCTGGATGGAAGATAGAGGGGGGAGGAAGCGAGCTGGGAATGGGGGGGGGNATGCAGGTAAGATACACGATTATCCAGGACTAGAAAAAGCAAAGGAATCATAATGATTTTGACAGTAGTCGTCATTGTGGGTTGTTGAATAAAGTTCAAAGTTTATTGTCATGGTTACAAGTACAGTGTACTTGTATACAGTCTACTTGAATACCTATAGCTATGAAAAATCAAAAGCATATTGGAGAATGATTAGTGTATTTGAGAAGTGAAACTGATTAGTTGTTGTGGACACACCACGGCACATAGTGCACAAACTTGCTCAGAAAAAGTTAGGGCTGCCCAACTCATTTACATACAGATGAATTAAAATCTGGAATAATAAAAAATAAAAATAAATCTTTGTAATGAAAAACAATTTATTTTTCTAAGAATCTAGGAATTTATTTTTTATTGATTAGTTTATTTATGATTATGTCATGTTTCGTCCTCCATATTAGCTGCTTAAGAGTGAAAAGAAAATTAAATTTACAAATAAGCCCCAAAGGGAGAATGTACAAGAAAAGGATTGGCCCCAAGATGAAAACCTGTGGGACCCCATACTCAGCAACTGCAGATGATAAAAAAGTGACCAATACTGACTGGAAAAGTTCTGTAAGATATGAAATAAACCAGTCTAAAACTGACCAATATGCACAGGTGGCATCATAATACATATTCTATTATTGTTTTTTGTTTACAAACCAAACTATTTTATATATGTTTTAACAAATTACCAAGTTAACTGATTAGAAAACATCAAAGTTTTTAGTTCAACATCTACTCATTAACTGAGGACTGAGACGGATAAAAAAACAAAGTAAAATATAGACAGTGCTGAAATTTTATGCAGGCTGAAATAGCTTTGTTTCACACCAGCCTCTGAACATGCAAGCAGTGTGTTATTGGCGCATGCCACTTTGTTCTGTTGTTATAACAATACTACAGGGCTCCAGAGCGTGACCAATTTGGTTGCACATGTGACCAAAAAAAACTGTCCTTGGTCTCACTGGTGTGCCTAACATTTCACAGGGCTGTTTTTTTTTTTCTCCCTCGAGTCAGAGCCAAAGGCAGAGAAGAGGTGGGTCTTCACCACTTTCGACCAGTGTTTTTGAAACTATACATTTACGAATGTTTTAAAAAATGTATGTTTTTATTAATTATAAAATCGTTTACATTTAGCTGGATAGTATATTTGACAAGATTTATTAGATTATTAATATACATTTAGCTTGATAGCGATATGCTGTATTTATTATAACCGTATACAGTGGTATCTCAGTTCTAAAATTCATTAGAACTCGAATATCTTAAAAGTCGAACCAACGAGTTTGAAAAAAAAAAAAAAGACCTAGAACTCGATCGAATCTCAGAAGTTGAACCGTGAACGCCAACCTAAGATAATTTATACGGGCGGGGGAATGAGTCACATGGCACGTCTCTTAGCGGAAACAAAGGGTAATGCTTCAATCTCAGCCTCGCATTTGCTGTGATAGCATCGTTTATTGGTGATACTGTATTTTCAATAAAAAAAAAGCACTATCAGGTTATACACTGTACTTAATATAATTTTTCACCAAAAAGTTATGCAATAGCTGTACAAATGTTACAACCTAAAAGTTTGCGATTTACGAACAAATTAACAGATACAGAGTAATAATAAAAATAAACAATGGACCACAGGGCATAGTCTAGTGTTGGGGCATGGCTTTGGGTTGTCACGATCTGCCAAGCCGGGACCGAGGAAGTAAGGACAAGACTCAAGCGATCGGGAAACACAGGGTTTAATTGAGAACAGGCAGAACAACACAATGACGTTACAATGGCCGGACTGGGGAAACAAACTAAAACGCGGACTAAATACAGAGGACTGATGGTACGTTCGATTATTTCTCTCCAAGTCGGAACTCGGATGAAAACGTCACAAAATGTCACGAAAAACGTCACTTCCCGTCGGAAACACGCCTCTTTTATGACGTTGAAGTCGGACAAGATTTCTAGCTATTGGCCTACTTTTTACCCAAGGTGTTAATGGATTCTTGTACAACAGATAAAAAACTGCTCTTCTGTCATTTAGCAGTTGATATCGATGTGGGTTTCTGACTATGGCGCAGTAAACATTCAATTGAAGAGACTTAACTGGTGCAGTCCCTTTCTGTAAGCGTGCAGTTTAAGATCTTGTACAATACCTGAGTTTGTCTTGAGATAATAGGTTAAAATATAAACGCTGACTCAGAGGAACGACATGGGCCTAGATAAATCGATACAACGAAAACATTTTTTAAAGGCTAATTTGTCACATCATGCATTTTATTGTTAAGATTGTCAGTAGGTGGCCGTTGGATTAAATTCCCAGGCGTGTTGCGACTGGAACAGATATGCAGCTGAAGAGTGACGTAACCCCTGTGACGTAATTTCAACATGGCAGCTTACACACTGAACAGTAATTCTATTTTCGAAATCTTTAAAAAAAAATTGTTTTTTTATAAATGTAATTGCACGTGTTCGATTTAGAGAATATATCATATCATAACCGTATCCTAACATGCAATATCAGATTTTTACCAGACTTCTTAGTGTCTTTGATTTGTTTGCCTCTCGAAAAAAGAATATCGCTATGAATGTACTAAAATATTTTATAAAGCTTTTAAAGCGGTTTGACTAATTCGTGTTTCTTTTTGTTTGTCTCTCGGAAAAAATAATCTCACTCCAAATCTGCTAAAATATAAAGCAACAACACACAGCAGCGCATTCATGGGGGGAGCCATGTTTGTTCCGGGATGTGGCAGCACGAATGGGAGATTGTTGGACGTGATGTCACTCAACTCGGAATTTCCGAGTTCCGAGAGAAAAACAAATGCACCATAATGACAACCAGAAACAGCTGATCACAAGGGGATTCCACACAAGGTTAACGAGGGGGCGTGCCACACGGAAGGAGCGGACGATCGGGGCAGGACAGGGGCAGTGTTGGGGTACATTATTTATCGTTTTGGAAGCCATTAAGAAAAAAAATGCTGCTCTTTTATCCTGTTCATTGTGTTTAGATGCTAAAACATTTAGGTATATTTTTTTGGGGCCAGGAACCAATTAATTGGTTTTCCATTATTTCTTATGGGGAAAATTCAATCAGAACTCAAACTTTTTTGGATTCCAACCAGAGTTCTGAGGTACCACTGTATTTAGTTTGGTAGCAGCATGTTTGCTTAACCTCAGGATTATAATTACCGTGATAAATTGATATTAGGGATTTTGCTTTACCATTATATGCATTTAACACAGACCTAGGCTTAATTACATCACACGATCCAGACATACCTTTTTAAAAACTTTCTAAATCGTTTTCTATGGTGGCCCTGAAAGCCCAGAGCATGTTGACATTACACAAAATTAAGAAACTGCAAAAGCATAAAAACAAAAGATAAAGCACATTTAACCCTCTGGAGTCGATGGCATCATCGGCGATGCCGAGTATCTTTCTTGTTTATTTCAGTTCATAACTCACTGAAATCTTATTACAGAAACATGAAAAAACGCTGACTAAATCCGTAATCTGTCTTTTCAAACGTCCATTGTCAGAAGTATTAAAGTTTTTAAAATTAGGTTAAATCGGCAAAAAAGTAAACCAAGTCACCTTACTTTGTTTTACCTGCGTCGGGGGCGTGTAATACTGCTGTCACCCGAAGATAGCGATTCACATTTTAAACAGCCGCATTAGCGTGTATTCAAATCGCACTCGCATGGTAATTTGATGAACAACGCAACGGTGAAACGCGATCCAGATACATCCCCATCAGCACCATAAAAGAGGGGTAGGGATGTGGCCAGATTTTAATGGCTCATTCATACACATGAAAGTTGCTACATATTCAATGAAAGGAGCCAGAAATAGTGACGTGAGTTAGGTTTTTGTTATTTATCCAACTGAACAGTGCAACTACACCATTTAGTCATCTTCATGTAGCCAAGACTTTGGTGATCAGATATCTGGGATCAAAACAAACTTCTACCACCATTGCTTATTATGTACTTTTATGTTTCTGCAAGTGCTCCAAACCGCATTTTGCAATGTCTAATTACAAACTTAACATAAATCTGACATATTTAAAAAGTACACTAAGATTAAAATGAGTTTTATGCCAAAACAAATATATATGAAATAATTTATTTGCCATAAATTAAGTTTATGATTTTGAATGAAATGAATGTGTGACCATGCCCCAGTCAGTGAAAGTGTGTTCTCATTTTGAAGGGGGTTAATCCTGCAGATGTTAAAAATAACTTTGTTTTGATTCTTCTGGAACCAGGTGAGGTGACCTAATTAATGACATTAATAAAGCAGTTTTGTGCTCAGGGGGAGTGAAACAGAACTGACTCCTTCACCTTTGCAGACTGGAGTTGAGCCCTGACACCCCGACGCTGCATGCTAAGTGTGTAGCCTTGTCATCCACCCAGTGACCAAGTGGCTGAATTTAACTAGTTAAATTCTAGTTGAACACGTCTCTGCTGACCAGCTTAACAAATGACCGGAGAAGAAATGTGCCGGGTGACCAAATCTGTGGAGAAATGGTTGATCAGTAGGTTGTGTGTGTGTGTGTGTGTGTGTGTGTGTGTGTGTGTGTGTGTGTGTGTACATATTTTTGTGTAAAAATTGGGCAATTTAGTATCAGTTGTCTCACCTGATATTCTGTTGGTCTGGGTTTTGAATTGCTGGTTTTTGTTAAAGTGCAGTTCCTCATGTGCTGAAATGTGAAGTGTTGAAATAAAACAATATATATTGGAAAATTATTGTAGAATTATTTTTTCGTAGATTTGATAATGTATAGCATTTTTACCTTTTTTTCTTATGTGTTTTTTCTTTACACATTTCCTATGATTATTCTTTATGAATATAAAGAATATAGTCAAATATGCCCTGTTTATGTTAGTACAATATAAAAATTGCCGAAATAGAAGATGGACTTGGGACACTCCCCCTGACAAAATGGCATCTCAGGACCCTCTCAAGTGGGTTGGCATTTTCATCTTTCAATTTGAAGAAATACGGGTCCCACAGTAGATACAGTTTGCTGAGGGTGAGCTGATTTAGGCCCCCTGAATCTACCATGACATCCATATCCCTCCGAGAGCCCTGAGTACACCATCCAGGCAGGAGGTTCCCAGTATTCTTCTAAGTATGTGTCACTTAAAAATGACATTTTCCGCTATTGACTGTGCAGGTGCACAGCAAATGTGTGTCTGAACATACACAAGTTTCTCTTAACCTAACAGCTTTAACTGTGTCCCGCTAGGTGGACAGCAGATCATGTACAGCATGATGATTAATGCGCTCCCAGCCACGACACGATATTTTGCCGTAGTCATAATTTCCTTAAATTCTGGCGATCGGGTCCTTCCTCAAACATGCCACGAGCCGTCCCTCCGATCGGAATATTCCTGTGCCCTTTCTCAGACCCGTCACACTGCAGCCCTCACATGATCACGGAGGAAGCGGACGCCGGTTGCGGGCGCGGCTCTGTGCGGGTCTCGGTAGCGCGCGTGCGAGCGCACGCGGCGTCGCTCTGCACCGGCACAATTACGGATGACGCCACGCCGCGCGCAGCACCCGCAGTTCTCATACTGACCCTTATATCATTTTATTGCAACGATGTAATTATTGTTATTTCGTTGTTTTTAACGCGTTTCCAGATTTCATAATGGCTACAAGGGATTGTAATAACTGCAGTCGAAAAGATTCAGGTTGGTCTCATTTAATAATCGACGAATAAATCGAAGACGGTGATTTAAAATGATTGTGAATATATAATCGCGTAGCGTGTGATGCACTATTTCATGGATGGATGGATGGATGGTTGGATAATGTCATGAAACAGAAAACCGCAGTTAACGTTTGGATTGATCCCGTGTAAAATTATGTAAAATGATGCACGTACCGCCAGTCACTGTGCGCTTGGTTTCTAAGCCGTGTTGTGTTTTCGAGTAAGCACGCTAATGATTTAGCTTCCAAGATAACCCATCGATCCCAAAACCGCTGAAGCATAACTTTTAAAATTTAAATTATCTGGGACAGGTGGTAAGGTAATTAATGGTCACAGACTTGTTATTATTGTGCCATTTTTGGAAAGGAAAACACGGAGATCCTTTAAATTACAGTATGTGCCAGTCTGGGTATGTAATTAGCAGGCATGTGCAGCCTTTTACTTTTCTAATTCGTGACTAACATCGTCTAATGTTTTCAAATGTACGTTTACTTGTGTTCTCTCATTTATGAATGCAATGGCAGGCAGGTATAAAGCTTTTTAACATATGTATGAAATTTATGCAGACGTTTAGAATGCATGAGAACCTTACAGACATGAACGATCTAGAGGTTCATAAATACAGCTACACCTTTTTACCTATAGTTTCTTAAAAATCTATCGGTCAGTCCCACTCATGTTATTTGGTGTTTCTCTGTGTTTTTCCTCGGAATAACAAGTGGTAGAATAGAACAAAGGCATTGTCTTTCGTCTGTGCTTGGTTTGTGCTTCGTTTGTGCTTCGTCTGTAATAACCCTGTCAGAGTTGAGAAACCGGTTTTCAAACGATACAGGATATATAAGACGTTGCGTTCGTTAAGTTTCTGCAATCATTAGTACAACCCACACTTCCGAGTCTCCTGAATTCTCTAATTCTGATTATATTCATTTTCAATACGGACGTATGATTAAAAAAATTCGTAGTTACATCTGGCTGTTAGATATTCCTGGAGGTTCGAAATGTGATATTCATATAGTAATTAAGTAACCGCGCATTGGCAGTGTATTAATAAATTGCATTTATTTGTGATGTGAAACGTTCCGTCTAATAATTCTTTTGAACAGTTCAAAACTCATGGATATTTGGGAGGGTTTTTCGTCACGTTGTCATGACTCATTTTGCCTCAGATGGTACAATTTGCGGGGAGAGATTGTGCAGCAAAGTGCTGACAGCATGTCTGAGAGAACCTATGCTGACTATGGTAAAGGATTAAAAGATATTTAAGCTTTCAGAATATCTTAAACGTTGAATGACATTACGTATTTCTTGGACCGTCCATGCAAGAATCTATACTAAACACAGCCGCCACATATCCATTGAAATAATATTTAAATATAAATATACATGATCATCCAACATGTTCATTGTCATTGGAAAATATATTAGATTTGTAACGGTCCCTAATAAATAGTCATCAAAATTCAGTTGACATCAGGTTTCCTTTAGGAATTTCATCACTTGTGTTCAGTTGATTTCTGCAACCTACTGCCAGCTGTGTGAGTGGGAGTCTCTGTACATGCTATCAGTCAGCGGATCACTCCATATTTGTGGCATTTTGGGTGTGAGGTCACCCTTATTTCTCTTGCTTTAGAGCAGGGGTCCCCAGTTATGGTTCCATCCACCACAGTCTGCATACATCTCTGCTCGAGAATCTTAATCAGCCAATTACTTGGTTTAGGAGGCATGTTTGAACAGGAAAGTCTGCAAACTTTGTTGGATTCTGGTCCTCCAGGACTGAAATTGGGTGACGCTGTTTGAGAGCATTTGTAGCTAACTTTAGTTAAATGAGTTGTACTTGGCTTTGACCTCCCACCCCCCAGTTCCATCTGAGTTTGTTTCCCTTTTCATGCCAGCTGCTCTGTTGGAGTGGGACAAGTTGCTGACCCCAGTGCCGAGATATGGCTCCAGTGACCTCAGTCCTGAGGGCGATCGCCGCAGTGCGGCCCCGGAGCTGGAGGGGGAGGCAGCTGAGCTGCGCAGAAAGCTGAAGTACTTCTTCATGAGCCCCTGCGACAAGTACCACGCCAAGGGCCGCAAGCCTTTTAAGTTGGGCCTGCAGCTGCTCAAAATCATCATCGTCACCGTGCAGGTACCCGCTCAGCCCTCCAGATGGGACAGCGGGTGTTTCTCAATATTCATTCTTAACCATAGTCGTGTTAACAAAACCCATTTGATGTCATAGACCATTGGCAAAGACCAGTTCCAATACCAAGAACAGAGCTACAGAGGATGGTTAAAATTAGAGCCCGACCAATACAAATATTTGTTGGTTTTAAAACCAATATTCCGATATATCGGCCGATATATATATATATATATATATATATATATATATATATA